CGAGTTGGATCAGGACCTCCCCATCCGAGATGTCCTTCCAGATGTAGTCAAAGACCCCAAACAGCGGCCTGCGAAACTGCAGCGTGTGCACCTCTTGTCCCAGCAACACTTGCAGTCCTTTTCGGGGCACTTTGTCTTGTCTCAGCAGCCAAAAACTCAGCGACAGGCATCTAGCGCTCTCTTCATCGCTCCTTGGAGGGTTCCTCGCCACAGCTCCCAGCTTTTCAGCCCTCCGTGCTCTCTGCAAGCTCTTTTCCTTGGAGTAAGGCACTCCCCCATGAGCATAAGCTTGCCTCAACGCATCCTGCCCCTCTGAGCTCTTTGCTTCCAGGTCCTCTGCCACACGAGCCTCCATGATCTCGTAAAGGCTGGTGTCATCCAAATAATACAAGGACCATAACTTCTCTTCCTCCTCCAGGTTCGGAAAAACGCTATCTCCCCGTATCTCACCCTTTCCCAGGAGACCTCCTCCGCCTTGCAAAGGTGATCGAAGAGCCAATCTCCGGTGGGAATGTTGCAGCACTCCTACTGCCTAAGCCCACCCCATCGGGAGCACTGCTGCACCTATATAGGTGTCTCCCTCTCGCTCTACACCTAGGCTGCGCCAGCTCACTTTCTCTGCAAACGTCATCATCTCAGGCCATCCTGGTGGGAGAGCAAACAAGTAGAAAGCCGACACTAGATCATCCGCACTCAACCACACTATACCTTGCCGGCTGGGAGAACCACATGTTGCAGCGCCGGGGCCCCCGTCAAGCTTCTGACATCTCCTTCGAGTAATTACTCGGGTCGCTGCATTCGTTCCTCGAAAGTCCATGATCAATCTCAGGATTGGACGTTCATCATCAAGGTACTTTCCGGGCTTTGCAACTCCAAAGCTGCCGTTTACGAGGAACCTACCTCTGACCAACACTGGCGCCTCGACAGTCTTCACCAGGCCCCGTTTGTACATCTCCCCTGCGATCTTCTCCCATTCTTCCCGGCAGGCATGAATCTGGGGCCTTGGTATCTCCAGAGACATCTCCTCCTCCGGCAATAAGTTGCTCAGGGGATTCAGCAGCTTCTCCTTCAACTCTCCTTCACACAATTCGACAAGGCGAACACTTGCTCCATATCCTTCAGGTGGTAAGCCTGGTAGAACCAGATCCAAAGTCAATCGCTGCCCTTTCTCCACTATCTCACCTTGGTATGAAATCCCGACATCACCAACTTCTCGCCCCCACTCTCCCATCTCTGGGGAACAGGGCACCTTCGACTTAGTCTCACAGCTATCATCAACGGAAGCCTTCAAAATCTCCCATATTCGATCCAAAGCCCTTGCTTGACTGACACTAGTGGTTCCCTGGTGGACCTTGGCCTGTTTTCCCCCTCCTGTCCACAGAAAATTCAGTAGAACCACAGTCAAGCAATGCCAGATGAGCAGACCTGCTCGCCGTGCATGTCGAAAGGCCTTCTTGTCTGCGCCTCCAAACTTCCGAAAGTCCCCAGACTCGAAGAGGCTTCTGAGTTGTTCCTTCCCATCGGTCCAAAGCGGCAGCGGAAGAACCTCCCGTTGTCTTCCCCTATTGCCGTCGTCAGACCCCGGCTTGATGGACCGTTTGAGATACTCGCCCAAGTTCGTGCCACTTCGCATGCACACCAACGCCAAAAGTCCTCCTGTTTGTGAAATGCTCAAACCTCCACGTTCTTCATCCTTTAGACATCGCTGCAATATTGCCAAACTCTCTTCAACTCCAGCTCCAAGCTCTACACTTTTCAAGCTCTCCCTGTCTCCTTCACTCTCATCGGGGTTGGACTCCGCTGGAAAGGCTTTCGGGGTGACCAGGCATCTATAAAGCTCACAATGCCTTCCAAAGCACGCTTCTTGGAGTACTCCATGTCATGCATCATCAACGCATTGACCAACCTCCATCGGCTGATATGCACCAATTCTCTTCCATCTCCTCGCGACAACTTCACCATACACTTCGATCGACCACCACCGCACAAATGGTACAGTCCCTTTCCATCCGTCAGGTAGTGCTGGCCATACCACTCATAGTATCCATCACTCGCAATCAAATGGTCTCCAACCAAAAATCCTCTGCCAGCATCACTCCAATCTTCAACTCGTAGGCATGCTTTACCCTGGGCTCGTCCATTCCAATCATGACATTCATATTCCATCACGTAACCTTTTCCCAGGATCGACTCAGCATAACTCAAGATGTCATCGTGATCCTTGGCGTTAACCCAAATCCTCTGGTGGGGCAGAAGGCCACTTTGTAACGTCTCATTCCTATCTTCCAACGTTCCACCTTTCCTGAAAAATCAACTTCTGATTCTCCATCTTTTTCTTTTCACTCTACCTCTCTCTCTTCCTCCCTCTTTCTCAGGTCCTCCGGGCTCCTGCCCAGGAGGGATAGGACCCTCAGGGTCCCCTCCCGAGTAAAGAGGGCGAGAGTCTCGTAACCTTAACAAGTGGCCTTCTCACACCCCTCAACCCTCAGAAGCCTCTGGGTTCCCCAACTCCCACGAGGGAGCCTGGGGTCCCCAGAGGCCAAGCTTGGCCACTCCTCGGCCTCTCACTCCACGGGGAGTGCTGAGGCCAAGAAGAGGACCACCAATACACGCTTTTTTAACCACCTGACCTCTCCCCACCTACCTCACGAGGAGGTCTGGTGGGAGAGGCCAGGCAGCCCTGACTTCAAAAGCTCCGGTGGAACCACAAATCAGGCATGCTATCCCCTTGGGAGAACACATATGTGATATATGTGTGTGACCATAGCTTTCCCCCTGCATCCCCCTGCTCGGCAAAATCCCGAACCTTCGGTCCCAGGCGCTGCTGACCAGGCTCGAAAAGGTCACATCACTGGGCTGGAGCCATTTCCACGGCATCTCCCGGAGCCTCAGCTGAACAACGGCGAACGCGTGAGGTTGAAGGGAGCCAGAGCTTTTCAGCTCTGTACTGAGCAGTAAGGCTTTAGCATGCCCGTATTTTCGGTATACATCGGTATACTCCCCTTGCAGAGGTCCAGGTGGAACATGATGGAAGCCCCAAGAAATCACTGGGTTGTTGAACTCCAAAAAAGATGCTCAAGATGGACTTCGAGGATTTTAGGATTTGCAGCCGAAAACTGCCGGCCACAAGATGTTCACTTCCCATCACAAAACTGGCTCTGGCGATGCTCAGGCGATGCTTTGGAATGTCACCAGTGGCCGCCACAGCGTCTTTTTGCCACACATATATGCCTAGAAGAAGGTTCAGTCAGATTGCAGTTATCAGTCTGCATGGCCGAAGTTATCGGTTGGCATGTCAGGTCTCCAACATCGACCTTCACTCCATTCACCCCCCCTCCGGATTTGGGAAAAGCCACCCAAAACCGACGTCTTTTGTCGCCGAAAACGAACTCCAACTCCAACGGGCCACGTCTCGGCAGCTTGTGCCCACCGTGCGCGCCCCAGTGCCTTCATCGAGGCGTTCGTGCCTGGGTTCGACTGGTCAGATGCAGCGACCGGTCAGATGAAGCCAAGGTCAGCGACCGGTCAGCGACTGGTCCAAAAAAACTGTTGCGACTGGGTCCAATCTGTTTGTTCCCAACTTCTGTGCAAATGTTGGGCGGTTTTTGCGACGCTGATTTTTGATACACAGATCAAGAGATCGATGATTTCATGATTTATCATGCTTAATCTACAGGAACCAGTCATGCCCAGCAAACCCACATAGCTTGGATGGACTCCTAAACTCTTGAAAGCTTCCGTTCGCTCAAAACGACTTCCAAACCAACGGTCAAAAGGGTGGGTGAGTGAACGAAGGTCAGATCAACCAATCCATCGGACCTGACCAAAAACATCCAAAAACCAGGTTGAACCCTAAGTCAGGTCAGGTCCGATGTTGAACCCTAAGTTGAACCCTAAGTCAGCCCTTCCGATGGGAACCCCTTGCGCCCCTGTCTGACTTCCTTGCCCGTTCTCCTGACCCTCTCTCCACCAACCTACCCAAACACCCGCGCCGAGACGGACGTGCGGACGCCGCCGAGGCGCAAATGGTATTGCTCTCGACCTGAAGGACCTGCATCTCACCTCGCCCGTGCCGGCCGGGGGACCGACCTGCTCTCGGAGCCCGCCCTGAAGCCCCTTGATTGATGTAGGTGGAGCAGTGGAAAACATGGAGCATGGGAAAACATGGTATATATGTGTGCAACATGCCGGAAACCGATGGAAAACGACCAGCGATGCCATGTCAACCAAAGGAACGGTTGGACGTCTTGTGTTAGGTCAGAGTACCAAATCAACATCAAACTCTGAGACTCTGGCGTCTGAAGAGGTTGGGAAGCTGCTTCTTTGTGCTAGATCCCTGTCGAACGAAGGAAGTGTGGCCTGCAAAGAGATTGCTCCTGTTCTTCCAATCCACATCACGCGTCTTTGCTCAAGAGCCACACAAACAAGTCACCTCAGTCTCTTCAAGGGGTGTTGTATGGTTGTTGTATGTTCTCCCGACTCTTTTAGCCTCCCTTTTCTCCGCCTTCGGTCGCGGTCGCTGTTTTATCCGGCCAGGTGGCCCAGCAGAGTGAGGCCCCGGCGCCAGGCGCCCGTGCTCGCGCCCGCGCCAAGCGCGGCGCCCACACGAGCGACGGCCGCCCCAAAGCCTCAATGGGTAGAGCAAGCAAAGCTGTGCACGGTGGGGGGTGGGGGAACAACCGGAAAAGACCTCTGCGCAGCACGTCACCTGTGCTCTTGAGGTGCTTCTTTGGGGGGGGAACTGGAACAGATCTTTCTTGTAGGTAGGGGATGTCCAGGAAGGTTCAGATCTGCTGGCACTAAAAGATGCCAACAGTAGTTACAGATCTGCTGACTCTTGAACTTGACCCTGGAGGATTTGGGGTGGAAACATGATGTGGAAACCTATTACAAGAGATGAGGGGGGGAACCCCTGCCAACGTGTCAGCTGTGGACCAGTTGATCCACTCGATCTTAGGCGGCTTGCATCTTCGCGATGGAAAATCTCAAAATTGGGGGAAAAAAAACGCCCTCCATCTCCCACTTGAGGAGGGGTGAACGAATGGTAGCCATCACGCATGCATCATGGGAGATGCAACCAATCATCTGGCAAAGGGAAAAATGTCGGGATGATGACGACGACAACGACGATGAGGAGATCTCTCATCTGCCTACCTCGTCTTGCCCCCCGCGAGAGCCGCGCTCGTTCTCCACCGAAGGCTCTCCTGACCGTCGGCCTCCAGGCCAAGCGCCGCATGGACTGCAGGGCCTCCAGGGCTTCGCGCCAGTCCAGCTGCCCCAGCACCTGGATGACGCGACGCACGCACGCCAACGCTTGCGACACCTGGGGAGGGACCGGCCGAGGAGGGACTGGGCGCGGGGGTGCCGCGGTCGGGTTCTGAAGGAATTCCGAAAGGGGTGGGCCTTTTTTGTGAAAGAATTGGGATGAAAGAAACGACTAAAAAAAAGAAGTGATGCAACATGAGGATCGACTGACTGGGGTCGATGGAGTGCAAGAGGACTGGCGGTCTGGCTTTGGACGTCCAAACGTTAGCATCGGAGCGAAGTTCTTTGAATCTGCGTGTGTGTCTCACAGTCGAGGGGGGGCGCCTATTGAAAGAAGAATGCCTTGCTTTTCAACTGCAGATCTACTTGCCCTCCAGCAAGACGCTCCTGTCCTTCTTCGGATTTCAGCGCTCCTGTCCTACGTCGATTCTGAGGGAAGAAAACGTGGTTTTTATTTCCTTCGGATGGGATCGGAAGACCGGGACTGATGTCGCTTCACAAGGACGAGCGCCCCGTCATCGGACTGATCGACAGAGATGTGAGATGTGGGAGAGGGAGCTCATCGGACTGATCACAAAGCAGTAGAAATTCGAGACCTTCAAAGTGACGAAACCGGTCAAGTCTTCCTTGACCAACAGAGTGTACTATAAATCTGTCACTATATATATATATATACCCTTTTTCTTGAGCCATGTGACCATTCTGTGGTACAAGAGTGCTGACTTCATCGGGCAGTGGCCACGGGACGGCCCCAAGGGCCCCTGGGAAGACGATCCAAATACCACTGCAGGGATGGTGAACTCCACGTCCAATCACCTGGTGGTGATCGAAAAATAACGGTGTGATCACCTGGGGCCTGGGGTGTGAACATGAGTGGTTCCAGAAAAGTAACTGATTCTGGTGGTGGCTTTTCCGTCTTCCTCCTTCTGCCGAGGCTCCTGGTTGGCCTCAACGAGGTTCACCTGCAAAGACCTCTGCCGGAGGTTCTTCAGCAAATCCACTCCACAGAGCTGGCTGCAGGGCTCCTGCAGCAACGAGGCGGAGGACGGAAGGAAGATGAAGGAAGCCGAGGCACACCCAGATATGGCAGAGCTCTTCCGCAGGTATCAGACATCACCCAAACCATCGTTGGGACGATGTGATAGGATCCCCTTTGGTGATCCCAACCAACCCCGAACCCGTGTGGATGGACATGAAATGAACAGCATGCCCTTCATGCACCCTTTGTGTGAGAACCAAAAAAAGATCAAAAAACCCGGGTTTCCTGAAGATCTGGCGAACCCAGCAGGACCCAGCAGCCACGCAACTTCTTCCGCACCTCTCCACTCCCAGTGGTTCTTCAGTCCACGTCAACCGGTGCCCTGGGCACGGGGAAAAAAAGACTGATACCTTCAGTGTGAAGCGTTCACACTGACTCCCGATTCCCTGGTGGACTCAACATACTCAACTAGGTCTGCCATGTGGGAAAGACGTTTTCACACTGTCAGGACCCGAACATCACGCGACCAAGGACCGAACATAACTCCAAAAAGAAGGAACTGCTCGAGCTGCACGGGACTTCATCCCCTCGGGTCCCCCCCCCTCTCTTCGTCCCGCCACAAGCCGCTCCGACCCGTTGGGTGTCCCGCCTCGGCATGGCGACGTCGCGCGGCCATGGCGGCCGACGTCGCGTGGCCTTCGCGAAGCAGATCTTTGGGTCGCGAGCTGGGTCGCGAGCTGGGTCGCAGCTGGTGCAGCTGGTGCAGTGGGTCAGTCAGTCTTTTTTGGAGAAGAAAAACCTTAAGGAACCTCCCAAACACTTTGGGCGGCGCCCCGAGACCTCTTGGGCCGTGTGGACCTCCCAAACATGGAGAAAACCGGAGCATGTGGAGCAGGTCGTTCGTCGTCCTGAGAACGCTACCAAAACCCGAGATGAATCCCCTGAAGCTGCTCAGGCTCTAAGATTCTCCGGATTTTGGAGGGGTGATGACTTGGCAGGTTCCACAAAAGAGTCCCTCCGTCCCTTGCGCAAGTCTTGATCCTCTTTTTGGGGAAAACACAATTACATCACCTGCGAACCTGAAGCACCGTGTTCTTTTTTCAGAGAGCTACGGCTACGGCAGATCGCTCATCCCGCCCACCCCCAACCCTGGCGCCGCCTGCGCCAGGCCACCCGTGTTTCGCTCGCTTCGCTCGGGCCAGGCCGCGGAGGCTCCCAGCGGATGGGCGATGGGATGGGGTGAGGGTTCAGCACCCAAGAGGCACTTGGATTGGACATCATGGGAGCAAACCCAAGAGCCTTTGGCACCGAAAAAAGAGGTTTATAAATATAGTGTGAATCTGGGGGGCAAGAAGACTCGGAAGCGGCTCCACGTTTGGAGGGACGCATTTGAGGTCGAATCGGGTAGAATGAGGCATTCATGAGGCCCTTTGATCCCTCAGCCCCTGGTGATTCTCGGAGTGCGGGAACGACACAGACCGAGACCAAGAGTCTTAGAAATGTCGAGTCTGTGCATGAATCGCTCATTCTAATATGGCTGCCTATGGGCTCCATGTACTTCTGTCTCGAGACTGCAGTCAGTGTGGGCTCTGGAGTTCAGTACACTCCTTGAATTAATCATGGATGTGATAAAAATAACCTGTTTGGTGCTCGGAAAATGGTCGTCAACCAGGCTCCGCCTGGTTTACCCACTGCCAACTCTCAAACTCCAATTCTCTTGACGGATCTCCGGAAGGAGCTCAGCTCGGCTCTGCGACTTGGTAGAGAACCAGATCCTTCAACTGCATCACCACTTGCCCCAGAAAGTCGCAAGAACATGATGAAGTGAACTACCCCCCGGCCTGAGAGCAGAGATTAGGACTACCACTATACCTTGGAGTTCATGAGTCAAAACGGAAGTGCTGGGTGTCCCACTCCTCCACTCACCCTTTTTCGTGAAGGGGTGGGCCTCAGTAAAGACCAAAACGCTCTGGGACGCCCCGTCCGTCGTGATTTCTTTTCGGTCCATGAAGATCCATGGCGTCCGATCCTATGCGTGGCTACTATCCCTCTGGTAGGAGTTGTGCTTTTCTGGTTTTCTTTGGCCAGTGAATCACTGGGGGCACCCCCCCCACCAAACAGCTCCCATAGCATCTTCCGAAAATCGTGAGAAACCGTGAAAGTCACTCCAAAACTCCTTCGAGAAGGAGGTAGAAGCCCCCAGCCATTTTTGAGCTAGCCAGCGCTTTTCCAGAAGCCTTCCGTTTTCCGCACTCGGCACATCCAGATCCCCTTATGGCCACTCCTTAGAGGGCTCGTGGGCCAGCGAGGGGTGCGGAAGCATTGGACGAAAGACCAAGAACACCAAATGCATGACAGGCAAAATGATGGAAATCGGTTCATGTGAATAACGGAAAAGATGCCTTGGCATCCACAGGATGTCGCCCTTGGAGTATACCACACTCCCTTTATTTAAGAGCCAACTTTACAGAACAACCATTCTTTGGATTTTGTATAAACTACAGCACCAGCGGTCCAACAGAGGCCTTTTCTTCGGTCCACGTCCACGATGGAGGCTGCTCCGAAGAGGTCCGGCTGCATGTCGTCCGGGTTGGAAGGATCGACGGTAGGACCCGGTGCGATTGGAAGGTCGGTACCAGGACCCACAGTGGCCGGGATTTGGGGTTTGCACGGGAAGGCACGGGTGGCCATGGGCACCGAGGTCGGTGTCACTGAGAAAAACACGTTCTTGAAGAAATCAGCTACTGACGTATATAGAAGTCATGGCCCTTGGGCACCCGACTCCTTTGACGGTGGGACTCGTCCCAAACCGTGGAAGTACGACTCGTCCCAAACGACTCGTCAACTTCGTTCTCGCGAACTCTTCAACCGGAAGGTACGTCTCCAAAAGTCTCTATCAGTCAGCGATTCTCCTTACGTCCCTGAATGAACACACATCTAAAGATCAACATGGCCAACCACACCCCGGAATCCGACCTTCGTGGCGCGACCTTCCCAGACCTCCCCAGACCCATGCACCCTGCCGACCGAAGGCGCCGCCCCCGTCAGCTGCACCAGATCCTCCCAGAGCTTCTCGCACTCGCCGGCCGAGGCGCCCCCTAACGGATCGAGCGAGCCCAAGTCAGAGGAAGGGGGTACCGGGGAGATCATGACAGCACCCTAAGCACTTCCCAACCAGTCCCCTAGGTCAGTACTTTGGGAGACCATCTCTCTAACAAACCAGCATTTAAAACAAAAAACATGGAGGCGTTGGCTAAATTTAGCAGGAATGTACCTCTATGTTTGGTGGAGGGAGGCGATCCAGATCATCCTTACGTTCGGGATGATGATTGTTGATTGATGCTTATAAGCTCTAACAGTTGGGATCTCGACATCAAATGTGGGGATTCACATTGATTAACTGTATTGGGGGCCTTGGGGGAATCAAACTACTCAACTTAGACCAATCAAGGTACTTCCCTTCAGTTTCATCGGACATTGGATGCGGATGCATTGTTCCTTGTTTGAGGTCCTACAGTCCTATCCGACAAAAATGCCTAGCAGCGTCCTTGCTCCGTTCGTAGCTTTATTGTTGCTAGTAGTAAGGCCGGGAGCCCCGTTCGTGGCGATGCCCTTTGCTCCGTTCGTAGCGATGCCCTTTGCTCCTATATAGGGTGTGTGTATATTCTCAATATAGGTTCGGTGGGCCAGACCCAAGAGCGACCTGAAACGGCGTCGCGTTTGTGCGACATCAGACAGGATGAACATCGATCTGTCAAACTCAGATGGACCGGTTTTGGCACCCTGAGTCCAATCGTTTTCCTCTAGAGACCAGTGGTTTTCAGGATCCATGTTAGTCTTCAGCGCGGTAATTTCCAAGCAACATAGTAATCCTGAGTGCACAGGAAGGTCCTTGTGCTCGTGACCACCCATGATCCAAAGATATCCCCCAAGCACCTATCAGAAAACCTCCGTGGTGATACGCAAGCACAGGAACTGCTGGGCTAACACATGATTTGCAATATGGAATGATTTGCAGGCAAACTGTCAGCATCGTTCCTCCAATGACCGGAAAGCCCACACTTGTTTTTGGATATGGTGTTTGATTGGTGGTGTTCGTGTGCTGATTAGCTATGCAAGAAATAACCCCACATGGTCAACAACAGACTCATGCATCTTCGTGTCGCAATTTCCCGGTAAGGACTTGGATGTCGTCAAGCAACTCACCGGGCGCCACTTTGGCCCCAGCCTCCCACACCCCAGCAAATGCCACTGCTTTTGCCATATTTCTCATCCGTGAGCATGGTGAACGAAGCGGTCGCCCGGCTTACCTACGCGGTCATCTCAGAGGTGCAGGACGATCTACATAACTGCCCCCTAGGATTGCCTCATTGATTGAAATAGTCGACGAACCCAGGTCCCCACCATTGTTTTTACTGAGGTCCTTCCCATCTTGGGAAGACAAGTCTGAGAATGGGTTTCAGTGGTCCCGGTCCGTTCCGGTCCGTTCATCTCCTTCCCATCCTTTCGGGTCCCACGGAAGGCATCCGGGGACGGACGAAACGGAACGGACGTCCCGTCCGGCTCCCAACGTCCGGAACAATGGGCGACATGGAACGTGCGCGACAGGACACTGGGTGACATGGTGGCAGGTTTCAACGGAACAAACTAAAACAGACCTTCCCCCAAAGCCTGTTTTTTCATGGATCTTTAATCTTCTTCCCTGTGAAAGGGCAGCCCATGCTTTATAACTATCCGGAGGCATGGCTGCTGAAACCAAAAAAAGCGGCTGCGATCACGACGTGAGAGGCCCGCAGTGGCCCAGCATGTCCCATTTTGAGCGCTGACCAACCCACGCCCACCAAGCTACAGGATGCCCGCCACTGGACCAGCCGGCTCTCAACATCTTGGTATCCTGAGAGGATCGACGACAGCCGATCCTAACGGTTTCCCCAAAGAGATAGAAACGGTGTCCAATACATGTTGAAAGGGATGTTGCATTATTTTTACTATATTATACTCAATCCAACAGCCGAAACGTCTTAGGGCCACTTGTGTCCACAAACGGAATCACTAACTCCTTCGCGTAAGCCCAGGCGCAATCCAGGACGACGTGGGGTCAGGATCCAACCTGAACGAAACTGAAGAACTTCCGACTGAGAGGTTTTAAGAGAACGAGTCGGACCCATCCCCTCAACAAAAGGGATCCTCTGAACCAGTCGGGTTCTGCTTCAGCCTTGAGCCGAACCAGTGGGTTCTGGCAGGTTCTTTGATAACTGGAAGGTCTTCATGAGCCGGTGACCAGGTGACTGTTCTTCAAACTCTCCAGACAAACCTCGTGATGAATAAAATGTCGCGGCCTCCGCACGGCTGACCTGACGATGGGCTGTGGGAAACTGGCAAGTTCTAGACCGGTTGATCTACCTGCAGACGTGTTGGTCCCTACGTGGACTGGTCGAAGACATGGTGGGTGGTTCACCACCCATGGACCAGATGTCAGTTGGTCCATGGAAGAATTAGCGCTGCAGCGCTGCGGTCGGACATTGACCAGAAGACTCTGGCACCTCTGGCCTGAAGAGTGGAAAATGATTGGGCCCTCTTTGATGAGGTTCTTTTCCGGGCTTCTTCAGCCCAAAAAGTGACAAGGCATGAATAGGCACAGAGCTTGGCTCTCCCTTCTCCCCTTCATCTGCTTGTTCGAATCCAGTCACTTCACCAAGCTCTCACTGACCTTCACCCGAAGAGCGGTCGCATACTTAAGACACCCCTGATCTAGATATTCTCCTTCCAATCACCACCCTTTAGCTGGTGCTGGTATGTATGTATATATATAGAGAGAGAGAGAATGTGTGATTATGACTTGTATCATTGCTGTTTAGGGACAAAATGTATGGCTTCAGGAACCTAGTGGGGATGGTCATGGTCATCCCCCTTCCCTTTGCAGGCTAAAGGAACCAGGGGGCCCAACACAATACCATATGATCATATGATGAGTTAGGAGTTGTGGATCTGCTACTGTTGAGAGTCCTAACTCACTATAAGTGCAGTATGTATGTTTGGGAGTCTTGCGCCCGGACGATCACCCAAAAGAGAACAGTTGAACAAGCTCTCCATTGCAAGGTTTGGTGATGGGGTCTTGCACTCGTGTCTTGCGCAGGCTCCCTGATTCAGGTTCCCTGGTCAATCGTTCCTCCGAAAGACAGTGCCAAAGAAGATCCCGAAGGATGCACTCCACTCAGTGGCATGAAAGTGGAGAACATCTCCTTGTGAAAGAACATCATCCTTCAGCCATGGGCATGGCCACATCCATGTCATTCTGAGGACTTGGATGCTTTGAGAGCACCTGTGTTCACGATGTGCTCGTCCTCTTCTCAAGGGAAACTAGAAAACCCAAAACTGGTAGCTGCTCATCCCAAAAATATCCTTTGTAAAAATGGTCAACTTGAGAAGAAACTGGAGCCAGAAGTACATCAACGAACCCCAACAAGGATTACCTTGTCATAATAGTTATTAGGTTGCGAATTTATTTCTGGATTTTTTCGTTATTTTTTTTAATCTTTTTGTTTTTCGTGTTTCGTGGCAGGTGCAGTACTTTGTGGACCTTGCAAAGCACATTTCGTGGCAGGTGCAGGACTTTGTGGGCCTTGGAGTGCAGAGTTTGTGGCAGGCGCAGGACTTTTTGTGGGCCTTGAAGTGCAGATTTCGTGGCAGGGGTAGTACTTTGTGGCCCTTGGAGTGCAGATTTTGTGGCAGGCGCAGGACTTTGTGGACCTTGAAGTGCAGATTTCGTGGCAGATGCAGGACTTTGTGGGTGTGGAAGTGTAGAGTTGGTGGCAGGTGCAGGACTTTGTGGGCCTTGGAGTGCAGATTTCGTGGCAGGCGCAAGACTTTGTGGACCTTGAAGTGCAGATTTCGTGGCAGGTGCAGTACTTTGTGGATGTTGAACTGCAGAAAGATAGAAAGATAAATTGATAGATAGATAGATTAGATTAGATTAGATTAGATTAGATTAGATTTGATTAGATTAGATTAGATAAGATAAGAAAGAAAGAAAGAAAGAAAGAAAGATAGATAGATAGATATAGATAGATATAGATAGATATAGATGTAGAGATAGATAGATAGATAGATAGAGGAGGCATATTTGCTTGGTTAGAAAGTTTTGCAACGGGGAGTTCACCTTAAAATATTGATTTCGTGGCAGGCGCGGGTGTCGGGGATGAAGTGCAGATTTCGTGGCGCGGGGGGGGGTTGGGGGGGTCGCAGCGCCCCCCCCAGCAGCACACCAGATCCAAAGGTGAGCAGCTCGTGCTTGCTTGCTTGCTTGCTTGCTTCCTTGTTTGGTTTCGTCTCTGCAACGAAAACAACAGGAAAAGCAAATACAAAAAGAGAAAGGAGAACAGCTGCCAAAAGAAAGATATATAGATAGATAAATAGATAGGTATAGACAGACAGATGGATAGGCCAAAAAGCCAAAAGCCACAAAAGCCAAAAGCCACAGAAGCCACGAAAGCCACGAAAGCCAAAAGCCACAAAAGCCAGAAGCCACAGAAGCCAAAAGCCACAAAAGCCAGAAGCCACAGAAGCCAGAAGCCAGAAGCCACGAAAAACAAAAAAAAACAAAAAAGAAACCAAGACAAAATGCAAAAATAAATACCCCTCCATAGTATTATATATTCAATACCAGCAGTGACAAAGGGGTGCTATCCATGGAGGTTAGGGGTGCCCATTATCCGATAATGAATGCCATTATCCACTCACTGGATGGGACTAAACACCACCCAACTCTATGTGACTGCTGGTACACATGTCGACAAGTTCTCTTCCTCCTCCTCCATCGTCCTATCCTCCCATTCTTCCCACAGACCAGACGACGGGGAGTGAACCGGCTCGACCCCACCGGTCCCAGTGGCGTGTGGATGCAGAGCTGTGGTGGGGAACCATAGCGACGGTCCATCCTGGGGGGGGTCCGAAGCGCCGACCGCGCCGTGGGAAACTGCACCTTCACCTCTTAGGCTCTTGTGCCTCTCTGGTGGACGTCTCGGAATCTCGTCACCACTCATCTCCGCACCAGAAAACGAATGAGAGTTGCTACTCCCTAAGCGGAAGTGACCCGTGCGGGTTGGAAAAGGGGCTCCAGATTGCTAACATGAAAGCCCCATGGCTAGGGGCTCTCATAACCCATCTTCCCTGACAGTAATAGTAATATTCCAACCATATCCTCAGAAGCTGGTTAGACGCCCTGGCACCCATCCCAACCATCTTCGAAACGGAGGTAGTTGGAGCCCTAGGGTTCCATCATTCTTGCCCACCATGGGCCTGTGGTTTCTGTCCACAGTCGATTACTAGGACTCCAAAAAAGGCCAAAGTGTGGAAGAGAACCCTTGATGTCCGCGAAACCGAAGAAAACCAGGGCCCCCTTGTTTGGGGTGTCCATTAACCACCCCGGCACTGGGTCCTGGTCATTCTGTGGATTTGTGACGAAAACCGCCAGACGACGAAGCGATGCTTCGAAAAATGCTCCGACCCGGAGCCAGGTGGAAAATCCACCGCTGCCGCTGAGATGAGCAGAGATGAGGAAAAAGGTTTTACGACGCAGCCGGACAAGTGGAAACTTGGGAATCCTTGCAACGTGACGGCGCATTGTGTCACATTGAACGTTGGGATCGCAGAATCGCATGGGGGGCTGAAAAAAATCGTAGTGTTTTTCCTTCCATGCGCAGCCAATGAGAGATCCTTCTAGAGAACCTGTTCGTCGATGGGTCCGAAAGACCCTTCCAACTCTCAAACCTCAAGGAGTCATCAAGAGTATTGCCCAAACACGCTCTCACTCACATTGCAATCTACAAACAGCTAGCGAACTCCACGTCCACGCGATATGTTCCTCCTTTGTCGGGTACCAAACCGAAGCTCGTCCAAAACTGCAACGAACATCGCCATCCGAACTCCACCGCTTTCACCGGCCCATCCGAGCCCCGGTGTGTGCGGCCAAGGCGCTCTTTCACCATCCTGAAATGGCATCGGCGGTCATTGGTCCAAGGATCGAACGTTCAACGCATTTGGTTGAGCTGAAACCGTCGAACCCCCCAAACAGGAAGAACGGCCGGTTTTGCGGTTTCCAGACCTTTACAGGTGGTTTCCTCTGAGAGTACTGATTTTCCACATCAAAAGCGTCGTCCAAGTTCTGAGTGTGCATTGTTCGCATCAACGCATCGCCTGGATCGTCTGACGGCCGAAGGAGCGTCGTCGGGTCGGAGCAAATCCGCATCAACAGCTGTTTCTCGTCGGTCGAAGCGGCAGCCGTGGGAGTTGGCCACATGGTGACCGGAGAAACATGGGAGGTTTAATCCGAGAAATCTCCCCACAGAAATGTTGATGATATGGTTTTTGTGAATGAAAAGGCGCACATGTTACATAATTGGAAGATCTAGGGTGTTTGGGCTACATCTGATGCTCTGTGACAGAGTCTTTTCCTCCACATGGATCAGTTCCCAGTGGCATGACATCGCAAAGCTTGCTGAGGCTGTATGCATGGTGAGCTGAGTAGCCTGGCAAGCCGACGTCCGTCGATTCTCGAACTTGGGCATCTATGACCGGTTCAAACGATCATTGGAGTCGCATCGTTTGTGACCGAACCAACCAGGGCCGACCCCCGTGACGTTCCACCACGGGATCAGGATCAGTCCTTCGGTCACGAGTTCAGAAGAACCAGGTATATAGACATAAACATATACAGCTATATCGGAAATGACCCAAATCCTTCCGCTTCGTCGTTCCCAACTCCACCCCACACACCAAATGAAAAGCGGTTCAATACATGCCCCGCATGGCACCTTGTTCCAGCTGCAAGTCCTTGAGTCCTGCTGGCCGCGAAACCACGTTGGATCACTGATCCCAGCATATGTCGAGCCACCGGGCTGGTCAAGATACATACCACCCATGTTGGAGGGAGCAGAAAGGCGAGCAGAAAATGACACTTGAGCCAGGGCGGCCTTTTTGGAAGGAGGCCTGTGGGCCGTTTAAGTGCACGAGGAAGGGAAGGAGTGAGATCCAGGGGGAGGTGGGAGGCGGGCGGCCAACGGGATGCACCGTAAGGGTCAGATCTCCACACACAAAGATGACGTGGGGAATAGCTGTTTTCTAGCTCTATTGGGGTGATTTGAAAGATCAAATGCCTCAGGCGGGGATCCCATTCACTATCGTTTATCACTACAATTGTGCCGGCTTGTCCGCTGGGTGCCAAAATCGAAATCCTGTGAAGGTCAACGACCTTTGGCCTTCGGACACATGAGAAGAAAGGGAAAGACCTGGCTTCGTAGTGCGGAATCCTGAGTAAAACCAATCTTTGGGAGTCAGGCCCTTGAACCAATGGTGAGCCAGTAATCCTACAAAATATGGACACCTGGATATACCTGGAATGTTATATAATGGTTCCTTCCAACGACCAAGACCTGACCACCTGCAACGCAAGGAGCTCTCGACCCGTTGATCACCGACCTGACCGACTCGTTGTCCTTGATGATAACCCGCAGACATCGATGCTGTGACGATCAATCGACCTGACCAGTCACCGGTCGCGCGGGTCGATCCGCAGCTGGTGGTCACTGCGGTTCACGGAGTGAACGAAGCCTGGTGACGGGTGGTTGGGGAAGTTGGCGAAATGGTCCTGCACAGTTCTCATCAAGACCGCTTTATCTCGGGGCATCTCTGATGCCTTCAGAAACTCCTCGCTTGGCAACCCTTCGACGGCCCAAAGATTTCGGTGATAGGTTCCGGACAGAGAGCAGCGGGTTGTAATGGATTTGCACTTCAATGATTCTCACGTTCCCAGGGGGTTGCGTGGAGGAGTCAAATCCAAACAAAGAATAGTAGGACCTTCCAAGAGGTGTCTGTAACTAGCCTCTTAAGGGTGTTTCGGGGTGTCCAAAAACGCATGGGGTATCGGCATGTACAGGAATCTGCAGGGGGGAAAACACTTCGGCTCACGAACTTCGCCGGCCTGGTCGTGGCAGATGATGACTACCAGGTGGAGTAGTTCATTGAGTCATTGGACATTCGCACCAGACCGACCGGTGGACCGACCGGGCACAGGGTGGACTGGTCGGGCAGACATGGTATTGAACGACCCATCCTCAGATATCGATCTATATAAGTTATATCTACATATATAGAGTCTTAATTAATGAACCCCCATATCAATCCAATTCAGGGCTTGGGGAGTTATTCATGGATGAGTCTGCATTGAGGTTGTTTTGCCGCATCTTCCCTTATCACATCGCTCCAGTCGGACGACGAAACCACCAAACCACCCGCTTCGCCCCGCTGTTAGCCCGTTTTGCTTCGCCCGGCCGGAGCCCGAAGACTTCAGCGTGGGCATCAGCAAGGAGCTCAGCAAGAAGGGCGCCATCACGTTCCTCGAAAAACGCGCAGTTCTCATGACCGGTGGCGGTGAAACTACCGGTGAAACTGCCGCCGGAACCGTCCGTCGTCGCGCCCGCGGAACCCAAAAAGCCCTCTGTGTCACCGACCTTTCACCTGACCCAAAGCCGATCGGGGGTCAACCTCGAAGCAAGTCTTGAGGACAAGAGGACGACGACGAGGTCAAGAGGCGCAGTGAAGGGAGTACACAGTGAAGCAACAGAGACACGCCCGGAGGGGAAATGCTTCGTGGAGAATCGAAGAATCTTGGAGCCATGGAAGGGACATCGGAAAAAAGAGAGCTCGTCTGCAGGGAGTGTCTACAAGCACAAGCTGTTCCATGAAAAACTGGATTTCATTGGTGATAGCAGGTGTGTTAGACTTTAGAAGATCGAGAAGAAACCTGAGGCATGGCCGCCTATTCTCCTTGCCATGCAACCTGACCGGTTGAGAAAGCCCTCGCTTTTAGCGTTGAACCAGTTGCCCTCCAAACCTCAAGGTCTGCAGTTCTGCATCCAACCATGTCCCCACAGACGATTCGTCTGCGTGTGCGACGAATCGCACACGAGTCGTTTTCACGAGCTGATTCGGCGATGATCACGATCTCATGGGAAAGATTCCCAGACACGACGAATGGGGACTGCCGTATATGCCGATCAATTGACCCCCAAAACCACCCCAATGTGTAGGCATGTCTGGGATTGGGAAAGTGGGAGATCGGCACAAAGTCTATTGGAGTTTCATTCATTAGATATCCTTAAAAGCTCATCAGCTAGGGCCCTACTGTTCTGCCAAGGGTCACTGCCAAGCTGTACTCATTGCCCTCAGAGGTGACCACACCTGTTGTGTCACTGCTATGTCGTCCACGTGGTGTCACATGTTTTCTTTGGGGGGGGACGGCAGGGTGTTCTGGGGCAGAACCGAATGGTCTTTTCCAAAGAACGGTGCGTCCTTCGATTCGCCAAGGGTCTGCGCCATGGAGCGAAAAGGATTGGACGGTGTCCATGGTGGGTGTAGACACGGTGTCTGTCTACGGCGCGAAACGGAAGAAACGGGGTGTCTGGAAGGACGTCACCCGACGTCTCCAGTGGGGGGGGCGTTGATTCTTTTTCTGGAGGCCGAGCAGTGAGAGGGCTGCTGCGGCAGTGTGAAGGATTTCGTGTGTCGAAATCGAAAAGGAAAGAAGAAAATGAAGGGAAAGACATCAGCAGTATATATGGCTGTGGGTCAAAACCAGTAGCCCCAAACCCGCTTAGGTGGACTTCCAAGATAGGCCATTCTGTTCATTTTCTGTGGTCAACCAAGGTACCCCGGTCTTTGACCCACGGTCATTTTACAAACAGGTCTTTGTTTGAGACACCAGCGGCATATTTATATATACCTAGATCATCCTAGATCTCTCAACTATGCAAAATGTATGCAATTTTCATGTATAAAAACCAACCAAAAGGCAGACAATATGCACAGTTGGAAGATCTTTGAGGGGGGCTAGAAGCAAGCCACCACAACGACAGGACATCTCTCAACGATGTTTGAGCATTGCCAAGAACCGCGTTGCTCGGCACATCGTCGTCCCCAGTCGTCCGAGTCCCTACTCGTGGGAATTCTCATCATGGCTTCCCTCCATGTGGCCAGGAGGCGTTTGCCCGTGTAATCGCCATCAAAGGTTCCAGCATTGTTGAGGAGACCGTGGAGCACGGGGAACCTGGCGCACACTTCACCCTAGAGGGCTCCCCATTTGGAGCATCGAAAAATCCACGCCTATCCGGCCCAACTCTGGGGCCCGGAAGCCTGGCATGTCTGTTCCTTTCACCGCATGATAGCTCCGGGTCCAGAAGAGTAGCTCCGGCTTTCGCCCAGCCAAGCAAAACCTGGAGCCTGGTGACGTGTTTTTTAATACACACGAAACAAACGGCTGGAAACTTGGCATCTGCACCTCGACCTCACACCAGTGTGAGCAAAGAAATGAAAAACCCTGGCCTTGTTCCCACCTTCTTACATGGTACGCATCCTTTTCGGCTCTTCTTCACCAAATGAACACAAACAATCGATGCCACGGTGAGAAACACATCAGCGAAACTACGTCAGAGTTATCAGTTATCTGGCAGCGAAACTTGTTTGGAGACCAACCAAGCAGGGTCGGTTGGTTCCATGATCCTCGTCGGTATGCGAAAGTGAGCGTCAATTCTTTGGAGGCCAAGTTCTTTCAGGACCCTCCAAGAAGGGCCTTCCTTTGCTGAGAGGAGTCACCAACGTAGACGGACAAAACCGGCATATTTGCCGTCCAAGATCTAGATCTATGCTGACCCCCATCGCAGCCGCAAACCAGCATTTTCTCCCAGAATATCACGAAGAAGCTGGTTTGCAGCTGCGGACTGCACCACCGGGCCCCGTTGCTCCCATGCCCCCAGCAGGCCCTGCCCAACATGTCAAGTGTCCACATCAAAAAGGAAACTGCTTTGGCTGAGCCACTTCTCAGAGACCTCTTGCGCCAACTTCCGCACGTCGGACATTAAGCTGAGATCTGCCACAAAGCCTCAGCGAACTCGCTGAGTAATGGGAGGAGACGTGTTTGGAAAGAAAAAAAGGACAGTTGGGAATCAGTTACCAGGACCCTCCGACAGGTCACCAATTGAGACCTGTTAGGGTCCAACCCTCAACTAACAGCCTGTTGGAGGGTCCTGGTACTTGACCAAGTTCCAAAAACTGTTGGGTTCCAAGTTCGGAGCTCGTTGGGTTCAAGACCGTCCCGCCCATCTCTGAATCCACCCCAACTGGCACAAAAGACGCCTTCACGCCAGGTGCTTAAGGCTTAAGGGTTCTACCTCTGGAAAAGGCGACGCTATATGATTTTGATCTTTGTTGGTTGTTACTGGTATGCTGACGCCTCCCTCCACACAATCCAACGTCGCTTTTTTCTCTCATGCGAATTAGAGAGATGACTTCACGCCGTCTCCACACAACCTTATGGAGCTATCTGCACCGTGTTATAGATGTTTTTCTTGCATTTTTCCTCCGCCCAACCTTCAGTGCCAACCGGCTTGGTTTGAGGCACCAACCCATCCAAGAACCTTCTCCGGTAGCAGGAGTTCCAAATTGTTTGTAGCACTTGACTGGAAGGTCAGCCAGTGACCTCGGATAGAAGTGACACCACCACCACCACCACAACCACCACCACCTTCGTCCTGGTGTCTTCACCACTTGCCCGCACAAAGTGCGCCATGTTCCGCCACGGCACCATGCGCTTCGCCGCCCAAGCGCTCCAAGCGCGCCACGGTGTCCTTCACACGCTGCACAGAGCGGCCATGAACAAGCACCACATGGCGCTGCTTGACCAAGAGCTCCGCAGTGTAGCGGCCAATGCCTCAAGTGCGGCAGAACGCTCCGGCTTCGAAAGCGGCAAGTGATGGCAAGTGGGTAGCCCAACCCATTGGGGTGGTAAAGACCCATTTGTGGGTCGTTTCGGGACTCTGAAGGGAACAGCCAAGCTCGGACCCCGAAGAATACAGGATCTACCACGCTAACCTTCGTCGTTGAGACCAAGCGAAAGTAGAAGAGCCTAGTGAAGCCCCGAGGATGGCTAAGAATGTGGTGTTGGTGCCCCTGAACGTTCACTGCACAAGGCCAACTCTTAAAGGGGTGAGCGAAAGCCAAGATTGGGAGAGGGACAAAATCTTCTGCCGTCTAAAGAAGAAAATGCGGATGAAAGTGATGCAAGTGAGGAGGTAGACGGGGATCAGGATGACGATGGGTCAGGATTGGTACTGTACCTTTTGAACTTTTGAGAGAAGCGCTCAAGGTAAGTTATGCACTGGGTCACACATCTATTTCTGGTCAGAGTTAGAATGGGTGACAGTGAAGATGCATGGGGAAGCCAGTGGCTGAAGGCAGGGATGAGGTTTTTCAGGAGAATGTCAATCAACATAGGTGATGATGAACAGGAAAGGATGGAAAATGGATCAGGAGCAGCAGGAAGGAAGAGAAGGATGGAGATGAGAATGAGGATGGATCCGGATAAAAATGTGGTGAGCATGTGGATGTCGATGAGGATGAATGGGGATGAGGATATGAGTGAGGGTCGACAAAGACACGACAATGACATCCTAAACAAAACCAAGGATACGATATGATGGATTTGGTTCAAAAAAGTTGAATCCTGGATTCCCACTGCCCGATTCCCACTGCCCTTGTCTGTCCACAAATCTCTGCCCACAAGGCGCCCCAGATGTTCACCTTCTCTTGAGGATTTAGGATTTGTTCAAAAATGCAACCAGAGTTTGATTGCCAAAACCTTCGCTGAGGCACCATCTGTAGCACCAGTGACCTCGCGGGGCAGGGATGGGCGGGGCGGGTAGAAAGTAAGGCACCAATCGGCCTTTCTTGTGTTCCGAGTCAGGGTCATCTTCTTGGGGGAGCTGCCAAGGTCGGTAGCAACATAGGGGCGATTGGGGGTTCGGAGCAAAAAAATTGAAATTTCCAACATACCAGGTGGCAGCAAAGTTGACTTTGTGGAGGGAAACCCGTTTCTTACCTTTCACGTATGGTACCGTTGCATTGCATTGAAATGTTTCTTTTGGCTTGTCCAGGAGCCGCCATACCAAAGGATAAATGAATAATCCCGCTCAAACTGGATTTGGAACTGCTCCACTTTGAGGCCCGTCTCAAGTTGCAAGGCCGAAGATGAAACTACAACGGCAAGTTGGCATACTTCAAGAAGAGGGGTGGGAACACACAGATTATTTGCGTTCATCTTCAGTATTTTCTGTGTTCTGCAAAGTGCTTCGTGGTGAACTGCTGCCTCAACGCCTCCAAGGGTGCGCAAGGGTGCGAAGAAAATGCCGCCGCGCCACCAGATAGACTCCGCACGTGGGCATTGTCCGAGCACCGTAGCCGCCACCCTGGGGTCTTAGTGGCCACCCGGTCCACAAGGTTGGTCGGAAGAGTGTGTGACCCAGCTTGTGGCACGCTAACGTCGGGCCGCGAAACAGCACATCAGAGGGCAAGCGCTTCTTTTAAGAAACTGACGTCTCAGAAAGGAGTCTTTGGTCTCGCGTCTCATGCTTTAGTGCTTGAGCCCTGGGCGTTTGTGTAGAATCAAGACCAAGGACTAGCTAGACGCTACAGCAATGGAATGTGTTTGCAAAGCACTCACGGTATGGTCCAACGCTACGGCTCAAGCACTCGAGTTGCAGCTTCTAGATGACCTCCTTCGATTCCAAGCGGCATCGCAAAAGTTCGTTCGTTGGCCATAAAGACTTTTGAAGGCTGTAGGGCCACTGAATGCAGAAAATTTTCTATCATATCGCTTCACTCGGTCCATATGCGCTTGCCTCCAATGGCTCTATACCAGTGATTTTGCTTTGCCCCGTGCGCCTCTTCGGAACGGGCACTCCGACGAAAGAGAGAAGCAAACGCGGAAGAAGCTCGTGGGACCCGGGGCTTGAACCATCCACCGAAAGGCACGGCAAAGACCATAATGACCATATGCACACGCCACGCCACATGCGCATGGTGGACCGTGGATGGGCATGGCAACTGGCATGGCAGTGCAGGGCCCCCTTCTTTTCGAAGACATTCCCTGAAAGACCGGTATACCGTGAATTCCGGAAAAAAGCGAGTGGTTGAACTCCACTTCAATGCTTGATCATTGGGAGTGTCATTTGAGATGGAATGTCCACCCACCTGAACACCACTTGGTGTTCTGGGACACCAACAAGAAGTCTCCCAACCTCTTTTTCGCAAACAAAAACCCGGTCTCCAAGGTTCGGTTTTCCTGGTCGAAGTCGGCGTCGGAGACCGGGACCACGTGCGTCGTTGTCAGGTCCGATCGATCTTCCAACCCAAAAGCTTCTGCCTTTGAAAGGACGGGGTGTCCCCCGCTCCCTCACGACTCATGGTGACAGGAGCCGCGCGAGACGTGCTGCTCGCGGAGCCGCGCGCGACCAGCAGACGGTCTGCGACAAAGTCCCGAAGTCGGCAGGACCGGAGATGGTTTAACAAGTGCGATGCGCTCATCGCTACTAGTAGCAAATAGCTACTACACGCTACTACTAGCTTCTTGCTACTACTCCTTTCATCCTTTCACAGAACTGGAAAGCCGACCTCCCTGCTTCTGAAGTCGGATGTGTCGAGAGAGAAAGAGTACCCCAAATGGATGTGGGTCAAAACCAGAGTCGCCTCCTTAGTCCATTCTGTTCTTCCCGACGCGTCGATGCGGTCACGACTGGTTTACATGGCATTCTGCCACGCACCCAAACACATGTGAGAGGTCCACATGAGGAAACTAATTATGACTCCGCACTGCCAAACGTGAACTCCCAAGCAGCTAGCTTCGCTGTCGACACACCAGACAAAATCCGAGCAAAGCGGATCTTCTCTTCCCTGCAGAAAAGAACCTCTGCACCATCGATGGTGCCATTTGGTAGCGACTTACCGATGCTCTTGTTGCGGTGCCTGTTGTGAACACCTGGAAGGACTTTATCCGAGAGGGATCTCGCGTGTGCAACAAATTGCCGTATTTCACCTGTCAAGTCACGAAAAGTATGTTGATCAGGATCATGTTCAGGCAAACGAAAACCCTTCAAATAGAATAATACCGCAAGCTCAACATAGGAAGTAACCGCATCATGATGAACTTTCCACTGAAGTTGATCGAAAAATTCTCCCAACACTCATTTTGTTCATTCCGGTGGTCAATCGGTCGGTCTCCTGGTGTTGACCCACAGCCTGCTTTTGGAGTGATTTCAGGTCATTTCACGAATCTCAACCCGGTGCTTTGATGGATTCTGCTTGCTAGTAGACCATGTGGCTATCTTTCTCAGCCATGAGGAGGCAACATGTGGAGCGGATCTCCCAAAGAAACATCATCGTTTTTTCTTCCTGAGCCTCAGCGGCATGTGACTTCTTCAGGGAACCCGAGGGAATCCCTTACCTTTGGTTATCTTTGGTAAGGAGCAACACAACCTGACTAGGGACCGCAAAGCTAGCGCCCCCATCTGCCGGGAAAAAAAAGGCGTCCACGAAGTGGCAGCATGTGCGTCCCAACCATCTCGATGTCCTTCTCAACATCCGATTGGAGTAAAATGATTTCGAAAAACACAGGTACTAAAACGACTAAAAGTCCTTCAAGTCTGTCACAAATCAGTTCACTCAACTTGTCACTACTTCAGAGTCTTTGGAGTGAGTTCTGAGTCACCCCAATCTTCATTTCCATTCCACCCACCCACCCATCCCATTCCTCGGTGGTTTCCCCCCCCCAACGCACGCACCCGCACGGGTTTCCGGTTCCCGCCTGGCTGGCCATGAGTCGGACCTGGAGTCGGGAACCGGAGTCCCGGTTCCAGGTCGGGTGGATCGGTTCGGACCTTCGATGTGGGAAGAGGCTGAGGAGAAGGAACGCATCGCCTCGTCCAACTTCGGAGTCACTGGGTGTCATCTGAAAAACCCAACTGACCTGGGAAGAGCAGTCGTTGAAAGCTGGAGCCGGTTGTTGCACACAAAGCCACCACAAAGGATGCACCAGGTACATAGCCTTGTGGAACCTCTGTTCAATACCCCCCGACATGGAACAACTCGGTGTCCGTAGATCAAATCAGCCCCACTAGTCACCAGCTACACCAGCTACACTAGTCCAATGCAAATTGTTCATCGAGACCATGGACAAGTTGTTAAGACCAGATGGTCGACCAGCACGCAGGTACTTCAATGTGGTTTATTGGATGATCCTTCCATTACGCGAGGGAAGATTGACGCTTCTTGTTCCGTTCGTAGTAAGGCCCGAACGGAACCATTCGTTCGTAGCATCCGAACGCGAACCGTTCGAGTCGCGATGCCAGGATTCGCTCCTCGGAGCCTTCGCGTGGCGATTAGCGCCACGCAGGGCGGGCCCCTTCCCCCCACAAGGTCGGGACACCAACGGCTCCTTGGCCCCCAAAAGGTCCGGAGCTATTGAAGACTCCGAAAGGTGGGTTCGGAGCTCATCCGTTGAGGGGATCCGTTTCGGGGCCGAGGCCACTTTCTTGCAGGAGGGCCGAGGCCACAGTCTTCCAACCCACACCACCCCGGACTTTCCACCTGTGGCCACAGGAGGACTCCAAAGGAGAAGCCGACGAAGGCGCAGCTGCGTACGCTTTTCCAGCTTCGCGCTGGAAAGCGCATGCTGTGAATTCTCTAGGCCCCAAGGTGCTTGGTTGAACATGTCTTTGTAGCCCCATCCGGTGATAGGCCCCCCCCCCAGACCAAGGTGACCAAAGGTAAAGTTTTTTTGACTCCACTCGCTTATAGTTTAGCTCTTTCGGTGTCAACGGCATTGGAATGTTCGATGTCATGTGGCACTCCATGACGAAGATGTCTATCATTGTCTATCTATTTGACGAAGATGAGTCTCACCCGTCTCATTCACGGCACTATCTGCACTTTGGAGAGGGTTTATGTTTCTCACTCTTCCGTGGTAGATATACAAAGCAGCCCCAGAAAGGGCCAGAGATCTTGACATACCTGTCCACTCATCCGGGTAGAGCCAATGCTGCTGACAGGTGTCCTTGCTGTGGCCGAACACGGCCGAACACGGCATGCTGACGATTCTATGACGTATCAAGTCTCTTTTTCGTTTTCGCCTTCATCTTCCCTGTCAGCACATGCTTGCTGCGCAAAGAGGGTCTTTTTGGTGGCTCGTTTCAGACCAGGTCGAAGGCCGACAACGGTCGCTACGAAGACCACGACGTTTGGGCGACTGTCGACGCTTCGGCTCGGACGAAGCCGGCCACCGGCCAAGGCCCGGACGCGCCCACTGGGAGTCTGGGGGATCGACTGAAACCAGACAGCCAAAGCAATGCACTCGGGAAGCTCACCAAAATGGGAAGAAAACGATCGCCATGGAAACCGGAAGATCCAAACACGTCATACATCTTCATACCTATCTCAGACCACTTCATGCCCAAAGCGGCGGCCGAAATCCAAAGCGGTGAAAGACGGTGCTTCGTTCGACCATACCCAGCCCCCCCGAAGCTGCAGCCCAGCCCCGTAGATCTGCAAAGGAAAACATATACTACAAAACCAGTGATCTGCAAAGGATTTCGGTAAAAGTCACTCTTACCAGGTCTGGTAACTCCTTAGGTCTTGACAGTGATCTTACCAGGTCCTCAAAGTCCTAACTCACCAGGTCAGGTCTGGTTTCATGGAAGCAAATCCACCCGATGCTGCGTGGCTCCCCTTTAGGGCGCCTTTTTTCGCTCACTTCGCGCGCAACTCCTTGATGACACGGTCCACCTGGAGGAAAAAGGTTCGCAATGCCGAGTGGTATGGCCATGAAGTGATACTACTGTAGTCCTGTCTGGCGATACCAAGAGATGTTTTTTGAGACCTTAAAGGGTCTGGGAAAAAGGGTGTGCTCTTTGAGCTATTCAACCTCTCTAGGTATAGTCTTTTGAAGCAGGTTGATGTGCCACAACTCAGCAGGAAAACCCCCAGATCGAACCGCCTCGAAGCCCCATGGCCTCCTGGTGTCTGCCGGAGAAATGTAAAATCTGCCGGAGAAGTAGATAGAATTGAATATGAATCGATCCCAAAACAGTTACCTGTTCTTTCTTAATTGGTGTTGTGTATGTTCTGACCTTTTATCTAGAACCCTCCCAGATACGCTCCACCAGGCGACTCCTTCTGTCCGTCCGTCCGTCCGTATCGGTCCGTCCTCCACGCCGAGCCTTGAGAGCAACGAGATCAAAGAGCTCCGCAGCCTCCGTTTTCAGCGCCTCAGCCCAGGAGCCCGACCTCGGGACGCTCGTGGTGAAAAATGAATTGGAAGAAAGCATCGGCTTAGAACCATGGTATCTCTATTATATATAACCAAAGAACCATATTGTTCTGCTAAGGATTTTTAGACTACACCATCAAGTCAACCATTCTTTTCATTGTCTTTGAAGGTCAAACTTTCGAGAATCAAAGCCCTCCACCATCCGAACTTGGGTGTCCTGGCTGGAGATCCCTAAGTAGTGGGCTGGGTAGTCCGACACAGACAGGATGGTCCTGGTATACACTCCTTGAGCTCCTCATGGTTCAGATGGCACCCGGAACTGGACGGCACCATTTGTACCGACAACCAAACGTGCCATCCACTTCCGTGACCAGTTCGAAGAACACGAAGAACACGTCCCACCGCGTCCCATGTCACACCGACCGCGCGTGGAGCAAACACGTCCCTGAACCTCTCCGGACTGATGTGTCGGTGACCCATGCGGTGGAAGACACGTGTGGACACGCTGGAGATGGACGGTCGGCGGTGAGGGGAGGATGACTGGGAGCACCATCTAATCTGGGGCTGTGATGACCAGTGAGACTTGTTTCTTGGTGTTGACCTGCTGAATTTGGCCTCCAATCCTTTGATGGCACCTCAGCGCAGGAGCCAACAAAAACCTGAGGGCAGTGACCCGGGGCGTGGGGCGTGGGGCGTGAGGCGTCTTTAGCCGCGTTTTCATGGCTCATGAATACCCCATGGAGATCCCTAAAGGCCCAAATATATCAAATCTCTCAGATCTCAGATCTGCCTCGCAAAAATGAAAACGCCTCGCCCCGCACCGGTGCAAGGCGTCGGATTCTCCCACCCTCACCGCGAAACATGGCGAAACGGTTGCCACAATGCCCTCACAGGTCCAGACCGACCGGCTGACAGCATGGGTGGTGCCAAGACACACGCGTTGATCCCAGCCCAGCTGGTACATGTAGGAGGTGTTCCTGAGAACGTTCAGCACATCTCCTGATATTACAGACCTCATGGAAACTGCAGGGTCCAATGTAAACGACTCAAAGAGGTCAGACCAGGCTTTACTTGATCCGACTGGACTGGTAGGGGTATCTGCGCCAGTTGGCCGAAGCTTTCAGAGCACTCTGCCACGACTTCATACAGCCCTTTCGGCTGGATGAGATCTGTACAGATTTGAATGGAAGGGATTTTTAGGAGAGAACACAATGACTGACTGTTGTACATGTTCTGAGGTGTGCCTGTCCAACGTCCTTCAACGGATGCCATTTTTCTTCTCCATGTCGACCTCAATCAGATTTCGCTCAGATGCTGCTCACTTGGGCAAATCCAACCTGATGAGACCGCAGAGTTCTGGGTCTCCTTGAGTCTTGTCCAATGGAAAGCGGCGCTTGTCCAATCGAGAAGTGGGTCTTAGTGTTTCTGTGCTAGAGGCTTCTGGGTCTCCTTGTACTTTTACCTTTTTGACACTCTTCCAACCGCTCGAACACCCCACGACGCTCGAACAGCACGGTCCATTTGGGCCCCCAAAGCATTCCCGCCCGGCCGCGAAGCGTTCGCCGCGGCGCTGCGGCGCGGCGCTTCGTCTCGGCGCGTTTCGCGTTCTCTCGCGGCTCGTCGCAGCCAAGGGGCTCGTCGCCGCCCAGTTCGAACTTGGTGTCGTGGGCGATGTTGTAGACCTCCACGAAGCGATGGGGTCGATCGGCAGCGATGGGGTCGAAATAGGAGCTGTTATGATGAAGAGAGTCACCTATAGAGTGGTGCTGTAGACTATAGAGTGCTTCAGTCTTCAAAAATCAGTGCTCATCCATGCAACCCTCACGGCCGGGTTACAAGATCGGTTCCCTTGCGGAAAGGGACTCTCATGGTCGACGTCATCTCCTTTTGAACCTTCCTGGTTGGAGAGTCATGAGCTCCACTCCTCCACCCTGTGCCATGAGCCAGAAGAAAACCCTTGGTGCTGGGCAGCCGAGCTCTGATCAGGCCTTTCATCTCATTCCTGGGATGGCCGGTGGATGGGAAAGCACATCCATGCCCAAAAGGTCGCACCCATTCACCGCTAGCGACAGCCAGCCAGCAGATCCCCAATATTGAACAAATCTACGACACCAGCAACAACGAATGGTTGGAGGGCATGGAATCTACGCTACGAGCGGGGCTCCTGGCATCGCTACGAACGGAGCAAGGACGCTACGAACGGGGCTTCCCTTGTATACTCCAAATGGAGCACCTTTTTGCCCTGTCCTCACGGGCACACTGCAGACGTCCATAACCTATCTGGTGCATGTTCACCGTATGGTTGATCTTTTATAGACCAATGTGTAGTACTCAATGCTTCTCAATGCTTCTCAAATGGATGTTACCCTGCACATGGTTACACGATCCTCTTGTGCTTCGAGTCGTTATGACAAGGTCATCGCTCACTTTGCGTTGTCAGAGTCCAGGAGCGGTCAGACGTCATTTGGTCCAAAAGCGTCAGCGGTTTCAACTCGGCGTGGCTTGGGATTGGCATGCTGCCACTGTCCCAGAACTTCCGTTTTGACTCATGAACTACTCCAGCTGGTACCAGGCTGGGGTAGTTCATTTTCGTCATGACTGGACGCTCAGGGTATGTAGACATTGATGATGATGACCACGCTGCTTGGCTTGAAGACTTGATGCACGGACAGTAATGACCCTTGGCTTGGTCGAGGCTCCCAGCAGATTTGCCCAGCCAAGCACAATGGAGGTCCATGTCGTAGTACCTGAGATCCAGGGTGTGGACTCCTGGGGTCATCTATAGAGATGTGTGGGTCAAAACATCCTGAGTCTTTGTACTGTGATCAAAGACGCTGTTGACGAACTCAAAGCCACCTGGCCATGGCCCGGTGGACTCCGGAATGTGGGTCCGCCCAAGTCAACAAGACTCAGTTGCGAAGCGGTTTTCCCCTCTTCAGGGCTCTGAAAACCACCCGCTCGGTTTTCCCCTACCTCTCCGGGCTCTGGGGCTCTGGGGCTCGTTTGTGTCAGGGGTGGCTCGCTTGAGCCTGGTGGAGTCGTTCCCAAAACGATCCCCGAACGCACCGGTCACCGTTTTCGCTTCCCCGGTCCGGCATCCCGGGTCGCCCGGTCCGGTTCGGGTGAGTCTTGCGGACCGGTTCCCGTGGAAACAGGCGGTTCACCTCCTGTTTGACCCGCAATGGTCCACTTCTTACACCGGAGATCAATGAGAACCAGAAATGGGAGACATGGGAGCTGAGATGCCTCGAAATCCTGCAGAACCAAACAAACGGCTGAAAGCTAAAGCCACAAAGAACCAAGTACATGAGCATCGTGTTTTGCAGATATCACCAAATGATGCTTTGTCCATTTCCAAGAAGAGCTTGCTCTTCGGCTCGTCTCGATTTTAAAGATCGTGCCGAATCCAGCTCCCTCCAGATGCCCTCCCCGATCAACAAACGAAAGGCACATCAGCTCCCCTATAGCAACCCAAGAAAGAATGCACCCAGCGAAAACCACTCCCCGTCCGAGTTGCAAGGCACGCTGACCCTTTTTGTTGGTGATGGAGGCGGAGACCTCCACAAGTCTCTGAACTCGCAAATGGCATCCAGTCGTTTGCTTGTGATGGATGCTCACCGTTTGCGAAAACCGTGGCACCACTTACAGTAACGTGGAGCAACCGAACATATCGGTTTTCGGTAGCTCAGCACTGATCAGTCCCAAGCGCGATTCTCTCTCGGGTCCCATGTGCCCCACAGCAGCTTCCTCCTTGTCCCTCTGGCTATCACCCTCTACACTCGACTGTCCTCATCGACACCCGAAACCACATCCGAAACCATCTGAACATCTCTGAACACATCGTCCACACCTTGGAATGCTCCTGGAGCTCGACCTGAAAGCAGCCGCCGCGTGCAAACAAGGGGCGCGATGGGATTGGTGTTTGGTGTTTCTATACGTTTCAGTGCTCGAACATCGTGGCATTCGATCGACAAGCTCCCTGCTCCCCAACCACATAGGCTTGGTAAGGGGGCCGCTGGGCAGCTAGGCCGTGGCTTCATACTCCATGAACCGTTGATGTGGATGGCATGGTTCGCCGGAACCCGGGCGTTCGTTCGCTTGGCGGGTTATGCGTGGATTGCCATTCTAAAAGATCGCAAACACCTGAGTCTTGGTACACTCCGACTCACTCACATGGAAGTGGAGTTCACCTCCTGTTTGGTATTCTGAAAATCATCATTGCCCATACCATCCACTTCCGTCCGTCGGAGTCTGTCAGGCAGTTTGAAGAAGAAAGACGTTTCTTCCAGGAGTCACAAAGGGGTGCCTATTGGAGGATAGGGGTGCCCAGAACATCCACTCACTGGATGGGGCTAAAGACCACCCAACTCCATGTGAGACTCCTGGGAGAAAAGCGCTTCAGGACTTTCTTGACCAGCCGGCCTTAAAACCGAGAATGCGAGAGGTTGGTCTGCGCGGAAAGCCGGTGGCGCATCTGGCCGACCTGGTGGTGGGGCAAGACTCCCACCGCAGAAGACTCCCGATCATCACCTCTCTCTCCAAGGAGAGGGGGGAGAATGTGCGTCCCAGACGCGATCTCAATCGTTGCTCCGTTCTGAGCGGTGTGTGTGACTCCAAGCACCTCAGAAAAACGCGAGCCTCGCTCGCCTCGCCCTCTTCCGGTGATGGTGCGGGTGGCGGAAGCGTGTTTTTTCTGCTGAGGTTGCTTTTACATGTGTGTGTGTGATCGTTTTACCATGAGAATGAAATACCCTAAAGCGGGCAACTTCATTCATGGCACATGGGCATGAGGCAAACAGAGATGCAAGCAATGCGTTCTTTCTAGAATAAATGCATGAGAAAGAGTAACGAAGCAAAGGCTCAAGCATGTGTAGATAAATATATGCAGGTATCGCATAGTGATGCACTGATACTTTCGACAGAAGACAAACGAGCACACACCCATGCATGTATAGACAAACACGTTTGAGTCTGTTGGAATTATGCAGATAAAGCCTTTATGGTAGGAGGTGAAGTTCAAAAGTATGCAGATGAAGACATTATGGCAGGAGTTAAAGTTCAAAGTTATATTGAGAGTATGCAGTGGAAGACTGTGTGGTTTCCTAGGTGAAGTTCATGTCACGACAAGCAAACGGCGACTTCGTCCCAAACATGTCACGACTTCGTCGCCGTGTTTTCTGCAATTGACAACACGTGAGACAACACTTTTTCGGATTCACATTTGCCAGTATGAACGCGACATCCAATCGAGCCCATCAACGCTCAAAAAACTTGCCCAAGGTAAAACAGTATGGGCTCGTGTAACTCAGGGGCAAGTGGTTCGCACTATAAATCACCATAAGGAGCTACATCCAGAATGGCTTATTCCACCGTAAACGCAAAAAAAAAAGGAACCCTCAGGCCCAGCAATGCTCAACAATTGGTCCCGCCAAGTAAGCTCGATGTAGTGTGACTTTCATGTTAGCAGTCTTTGAATGTAATGCTGAGGTCAAAAGCTTGGGTTTTTTAGCGACAAAGGTGTTTGCCAGTACGGAATGGACGATATGTATTACTGTATTACGGAAGGACGAGCAAGATCGTATTTAGGTGAAGGTTCTGAATAAGAGCTTTTAAGCAAATGGTGTTTGCGTGTCTGGATTCATGGTGTTTCAGTGTGTTTCAGCTTCCTGTCAGACTCTTTACCTTGGCATGTTTGGGGGGGTAATTCCCCCCCACTCAGCCCCCTCTGCAGATCCCTTGACCTGCTCTGAAAAAAGAAAAAAACACACGGCATCAAATTGAAGCTCTACAAATCTTTCAAACACCGCTGAAACGACAAACAATGATTCCTGCTCTACAAATCCCCACCGCATCAGAGCGCCATTCCACCGTTCCACCACTCCGGGCCGCAGCAGTTCCACCCATCTCTCCCATCGCCGGAGGGGGGCCAAGGCACCCCCTCTTTCACGCGCTGAAGCGCCCAATGAGAGAAATCCTGCTCAGCCAGGTACTCGCCTCAGGCATTGGAAACACCAGTAAACATGGAATGTGCTCACGCTTTGCCCATGTTTTGCCCCAGCAAAGCTCATGGTATGGAAGAACCAACTTGTGCAATTGTCCGGGCACGCGGCACGGGTCATTTCCGTGACTGGAAACAGGTGTCCCCCAAAAAGACTGGATGTCCATGCTTCGCTTGCTTCGCTTGCTTCTCTTGCTTCACGCTCGGGAAGAACGATGACTTCCAAACAAGTTGTTGTGTTTTCGTGTTTTTTGGTCCATTCTCCAGTGAGTAAAAGCTCGTCCTTGGGGATGAGCATTTTGTGGAGACTGGGGACACTTTGTCCAACGAAACACCCAAAAAGAGAACCCAAAAGAACCAAACAATGTCCAACACATGTGTATTTGGGGGTTCATGATAAATTCATGTTCTGAATGTCCAGTCCTCATTATAAGATCCTGCTTGGCAATGATCACTCGATTTCCCACTCGGACGAAGGCACTGCTCACTTGGCTCGAATAGCCTGGCCAGACCCACGGTGGCGACGGCGACGTGATCGCGTGGCGCTGGAGGATTTTTCGGCCCGGGCCCCAGGGTGGCGGGCCTCTCCCGGGTCTCCAGTGGTCAAGTTGGTGCTTCATTGCATCCAACATCATCCTCAGGGTGAAATCGTGTTGCTCGAGTCGCCGAGGCCCTTTGGGCCGTCTGGAACGGAAGCCCGGAGAGCGAAAACACGAAGACGTCCAGTGAGCAAAGAGGTTGAGCCGAGTGATATATAAAAGATTATAAAAGGCTCTCCCAAAAAGTTGTGGGGGAGAATGAGTGCGTCAATCTGCTGCCTGGGAAAAGCAACTCTCATTGAATGCGCGGTTGGTCTCCCAAACACTGGAAGGGCGCGCGCATGCGCGGCCGAATCCGCTGTAGTGCTGGCCCTGCTGGCCTTCCTTCTTCAGCTTCGTACCCTGCAAGCGCTGCACCTCCGCAGTCTTTTCCTCAGTCGCCAGATTGAGTGGTTTCACCAGGCGTTCAACTCACGTCAGCGCGGAGATTTTGGTGCTCATGCAAGTAGACTGGCAATCATCTCCACATGAACTTGTAGCAAGTGGCCTTAAAATGTCAACCAAGTGGGCGTTTCCTGAACAGCAATCCCCTCATGAACGCCCTCGGTTTCCCGGCGGTTGTTGGGGGGGCGCGAGCTCGACTTTGAAAGTCGCAACCAACGACTCATGGTGGAAGCCGGATCTTTTCAAGCAACAGCGTTGCTTCCCCCCAAAAAAATGAGAAAATCATAGAAAACCGTTGCCCCAACCAATCCGACTGCCCCACACCATCCTGCGTCTCTCCAGGGAGCGTTCTCCTTCTCCTGCTGCTTTTTCACCATGTCGGCCTCGGCGGAGGATTTCAACTTCTTCAGCCGTTCCACCTGCCCGACCAGAGCGGCGGACGGACCAGACTGTGGCATTGGAACTCGGGGGTGAGGCCTTGGTTCAATATGTTAGCGCCGTGTGTGCGTGCCCTCGTCCACTGGAAGCAGGAATAGAAGTTCTGATAGAAGTCTTCAAAACAACAACTTGAAGCAGGATAGGTTCCAAAGTCTCTGCTTTTGTGCAAACGCATCTGGAAAGGGATAGAAGTCTTTGAAGCGACAGGAACCGATCAGATTCTAAGGCCTCTGCTTTGGTCGAAAAAGCATGTCGTATATCATGACAAGAACCCAAGAAGTCCAGACACTATTATATTTGGCGGCACCACCTCAAGAAAAACAATCAAAAAAATCATTGAAGCATCAAGTTCGCACCTCTCCCTTCAGCCGGTGTTGTTCAGCCAAGCTCAAGGCCGCTGCAGCACCTGCAGCAGTGCCTTTGGCATGCCTTGAGCGCAAAAAGTTCACGAGACAGGTGGAAAATGGAGCGAAAACCGGGGGGGTGTTCGGATTTGTCTAGCATTTAGTAGGAATCTGCAGCCTGCATGATCAAGTAGAATTTCATCCGGGATCATCATCATCTGGTCTCTTTGGTATGGGAAATTATACTTTAATAACTGTCAGACTGATGGTCCATTCGATTGAAGTCCGGGTCCATCACTTTTTCGATGCACCCTGTTGGAGCCGAGTTGATAAAGAAAGTGTCGGACAAAGAAGCGCAACATCTCCTCTCCGCTTGCGTTGAAAAAAAAGGCGGCTCCAACTATCATAGTGGCCCTGCTAGACACCATCATAGTTGATTCGCTGCACCTAACCAAGGATCCTCCAAAAGAAACAATCAAGAATCGCATGTCTAAGATAAAGAACAAAACAAAAAACACCTGAAAGCTTCCCAACCAACCTCCGTCTCTAAAAGAATACCGACGCCCCACACCTGTGCGCCAAAAACACCTTCCCAAACCTCACCACCTTCCCAAACAGTTCTGAGCTGAGCTGGTTCCACAGCTGTCGCGGCTACGCTCAGCCGTCGCCCGCTCAGCTCCCAGGCTGAAAAGCGCAAAGCATGTCGTCCACCGCCATGCCTCGCTGGGGCCGACGGAAGGTTCCGTCGCTCCGCTCGCCGAACCGGCCCGATCTCGACCCGGGATGGTCCGAGAGACCGTCCCGGTCTGCCAAAGAGAGCGGGTTCAGTGGAAGGGACCGGTCTGATTAGGCGAAGGGGACGGTTCCGTAAGAGAAAGGAATCCAAAAAAAGAATTTGCAAGCCGAAGCTGAGTGTTTTGAAAGGATTTGCAGCCGAACTTGGAGCCCAAACCCTGGTCAGGTTGACCACGGTCTACCACGCTTGGGGAGTGCCCCCACCTAGCTTGGGTTTCGTTCTCCGCAAACCCCCCTCGCGGCGCCCCGGCGACGTTCCTCGGTTCCTCGGGTTTGTCCGGGTTCCCGTCAAGGCACCAAACTCCTTCAAGGCCTCCTGAAGGGGCGATGGTTCTTTCGAGCACACATGCTGACCGAAAGTCGTTTCGTTGGCGATTGCAAGAAGGGATCCACTCAGAAAACCAAACGCCGCAGCTTCTGCGCTTTCAGGTCACCCCGCATGTCTGCTTGGTCTTTGCGACCAAAAGGGGGCCCACCCTTTTCGACCGGGTGACGTCTGTCTTCGAAGTTTTAGCGACGTTTCAGGTGAACCCATCGGCACTGGGAGAAAAACAGGATGAAGCTTTGGCCGCTGGCAAGGAAAGGGGCAGTTCTAAGATCCCCGGTTCTGCGGCTTCGTTCTGAAGGACAGAATCTCATCCCACCCTTTTGACCGACGAAAAAGGCTTCTCAGTACTTTGACCATGTCTTTCCCACAGAATTGTGTGATTTCTGGTGAGTTATAGATGGGCAATTCGGGAACCCCCCAGCTCATTTTTGCTGCGATGATGATGCTGGGATTGTCTTGGCTGGTAGGAACCGGCAGAAAACGATGGGACGGGTTGGTGTGAAAGGTGTTCAACTGCACAGTTTCTCTTCCGATCCACGGCCTAAAAGCATGTGCCAGGGTTGAAAGATGTTAAAAGAATAGGGTTGGGTCAAAAAGAAAGGTTCAGCTAGAGAGATGCTTGCCAGAAAAGGCTGTTCAAGACAAAAGAATTGCAGCCATGAACCCTGTAGCTGTAAGCAAGTGTTGGTGACTTCAAGACCAAGTCAAAAAAGAATCCGGCAGATGACCTTTGCTTCAGCACTTTAGCGTTTGCCCACAAAAATGCTTGACGCAAGGAGGGGAATCATAGGGTGGCCATAGAGCGGGGGACCTGGTCTTTACTCTGAAGGTTGTGACACTTCTACTCCCAAACTGGCAGGCTTATCTACATTCTCCCCATCTTCGCGACCGTTCACTCAATCAGTTCTTCTTCCCCATTCTGCCAAGCCAAGGCACGCAGGCCAAAGCTCTCCTGACGAGCTGGATATTTCGAAAAGCATTTCTTTCGGCGAGCCAAACATGAAGTCTGGGCAACCTCCCGCACTGCAAGAGGTTTTGTCGTTGTCGTCCAGAGCTGAACGTTTGGGCTTGCCATTAAGCCATTGAGAATGATTGTATTGGTATATATGCACTTTGTTTGCCTTACAATTTCGCTTGCAATCAATGTCTGCAACAACTACATCATTTCGATGCTTGGAACTGCGGAACGCCGCTTCTACGCGAAAGCCAGCCAGGAAACACACACACGGCTGGCAGGCACCGAACTTTTAAAAAAAGAACGTTTTGGGCTCGCTGCCGGCAGCAATTAATTAACGGGCATGTGGGCCTCGAAGAAGCGAATTTGGTGCGTCGGTTGCTCCTGGGTGTTCTCCGTTTTTTTTCCACTGGTCCAAACTGGGATCGTGTTCAATACTGTGCCTTTCAGATGACTTGCAGGACATGTTCCAAAATCACTTGGTCTTTGTTTGCCGCTGGTCTTCTTGCCTGTCTCCTTGCTTGCCCCTTTGGTTCGCAAACAGTGTTACCGTTGGCACTCTCAAGTCTTGCAAACAAAATGGTGATCCAACACGTGCGTTGGCACTTCTCTCCAGTTCCGGCCTTCGGTGGCGAAGTTAAATCTGGGAAATTGTGTGTGTGAATTGCGTTTTGTTTGCATTTACCGAAGAAAGAACACTTTTACTCTGTCATTCAAAGAGCCACGATACAAACAAAGAAGAGTTATTTCGCCATGTTACATCTGCCGAGGCCATCTGGAAAAGCCGTCTCCTCTCGTCTCAACCCCTCCAAAGAACCCATACCCTAGACTTCCGTTCGACCAGTAAAACAATGGGAACCATGTGGTTTTTTGTAGTGTAAAATCCTTAGTTGATTCGGGATTCAGCCTAATAAATGAATGGTGGTTGGAAGCCTAGGGCATACTTACCCAACTAACCCAGCACCCACCCGATAAAACACACGCACTCCCACCGTCCTGTAGTAGAGCTTGGACTGGTCAAAGTCGCCAGTCCCTGCACCGCTCGAACTCACGCGTCCCGAGCCGCTTACGCACCGGTCCACTCCGGTCCAAACGGCCCCTGAAATCCCGCAACGACCATGGGTTTACGGCTTTGACACCACAAAACCACGGATCCGGGGTCTGCTTTTCAAACCACGCGGGGGCGCGGATGGTTCCGGAGGTGTTGGAGCGGCGGCGGCGGCGATTGCAGCACCTGTGAGCACAGTAAGGGGCGTTGCGCTTCAGTGTACACACCGACATTGGAAGACAGGTAGAAGTTCTCAGACAAAATCCATGAGGTAGCAGGTACCAACTCAAAAACGAACACAAAAGCCAGTAAGCACTGTAAAAATGAGATCATGTGCTCTCCGAACTGACCAAATTAACACCTGGCTGGATGCCCTGGTTTGGTACTCTGGGCTACATCACACTGTGTGCGGAGCCCTAAGCAAGAACTCATCTGGGTGCAGTAAAGTACAGGTGTTCACCCCCAATTCAAAGATCGCATAGCCAAAACCACCGGTTATGAAACTATGATAAACCATGTATATACAGTCACGGGTGTCAAGCAAAAATACCCAAACCCCAAACTGAGTGGTGCTGAGGGGTCAGAACGTATCACCACCCTGACCACCCTGACCCCCGTCTCTGTATTCGTCTGCTCCGCACTCTCCTGCTTGCTTGATGGCCACAATGGCCGTGGTCGCCTTCTTCTTGGCCTCCCGACCGTAGCGATGGACACGAGAGGACGCGATGGACCCTGAATCGGTCCGTTCGTTCACGAGCGAAAAACGTGCACGTGGATCAGGGTGCGTGGATCGTGAACGTCCATTCTTCTCGGGCCGCGAACAAGCGATCAGCCCGAAAATGGTCCTATGAAGGATGCAGACGAACAGATGATGAAGCACGCGATCTTCCAAGAAAGGGAAAAACAATGGTCAACAAACCAGGATATCTTCGCCTACCTCCATAATTCAATGGTCTTTTCTCAATATGGGCGCGTATTTTACTAGGCGAGACCGTCGAGACCTCGCCCCTGGCTGGGTAGACTGGTCCATGTTCCTTCAATATCTTCATCCAAATATGCTAGGCACGGGCCTGGTAGGACCACGCCTCTTTGATGTCCAACTTCACCTGGTCTTCAGACCCTCCAACGCCCTCACCCAGGGCACCCGCTCGGGCCATTGAAGTTTCAAGTAGCAGAGGGCCTGGCGGGAGGCTTCGTCACATGCCAAAGAGCACCAAAGCAACATCAAAGAGATGTGCAGATGCCTGATCAAAGAGATGTGTCTGATGATGTCTGATGATCTGATGTAGAAAGATTTGGAAGCTAACACAGATCATTTTGAAACTATGTGGCTACACATATCATATCATGTGTACACAAATTGTACCAACATAGACCCCAAATGGCGTCAGCATTTTTTCGGCGTCGGCGTCAACTCCGAAAATTCCAATGTTGGTGGAAACGAATGCAATTATACTTTTCTAAAGCCTCCAGCTGTTTGGGAACTGCACCCCCGGACACAGAGCCGGGCCACAGAGTTAGAGGAGGACAAGACCCGGACACAGAGACGGGCCACAGAGCCCAGCCACAGAGTTCAGGGGCGCGGCCAATGAGGTGGCGAAGATAGAACCCCAACATACCCCAACAGTTGGGCGAAATATATACCAAACATGCATGTATCAAGTAGTTAACCCACAACTCAAAGTGGATGATCTCCAAAGCCCCCTTGCTTCGCTCCCGACTTCAGCGGTCGCTTCTACGGTTGGGTCCCGCCGCGTTGCTGAGCAGCGTCGCCACGGCCGCCGCTGGCACTTCAGCCTTTCCTTGGAAGAGCTCCAGGCCCTTCTCCTCAAAAGGGTCAGTGGAGAGGAATCTGGAAAAAGCTCCCTCATGCAGGTTTGGTCTACAGAGGGTAGGGGTTGTTTTTCTCTACAGAGGGCCCGAGATCTCGCACGTCTGGCACGGACGAAAGGTTGATTTCAGGAACCGAACCCAGCAGGGAGGTCTCCCCAGGCGTTGGGAGGACACCTCCCATGTCTTGAGCTACACACCCCACATGGGGGGGAACCCAAATTACCGATCTGTCGTGGCACCGCCCAGACAGAACGGTACCCGGTCGACTCGAATAAGGACCCATCCTCTCCAATATGGGCAGCTCAGTCAGTCAGCTTCTGTTTGCAAGAACCACCTCTGTCAGAGAGAAGCTGATTGAATGCACATAGAAGCTGAATTAAACGTGAGCAGGCGGTGCTTCTCTACCCCTTGCCCCTTTTGCTTGGCTCTTCAGCCCAAAAGATCCCCCCCCACCGGCGAGTCGAAGCTGTCTGGCTCTTCTCTCTCCCAAGCTCCGCACGTAGTGCGCCAAAGCTTCGGACACCCGCCCCGCCTTGGGAGAGGACGGAGGACGCAGAGGTCGGTCGGAGCTGGGAGGACGGCAGTTCGGGATCCTTCCAGTAGACGTACGGCAGCTGCATTGCAGCTTCTACAGCTTCCAGGCAGCTTCCACAGCTGCCACAGCTTGGATCTGATATCTTTTTGGGTCAACGTCTTCCGAAAGAGGTCAAAGCAGCACCCCAGCTGCTTTGGAGGTCTCGCCGCCTTGAAGTGCTCATTGCCCTTGAGTCGTGCTTCCTCTGGATCCTGGCGTCGGCTTCAACGAAGCTCCCGCCGTCTGGTCTTCGGGAAACCCCTTCAATACCCTCGGTATCCCTCGGTTTGGAGTTCTTCGGATGCGCTGGCTCTTCCCGCTTTAGAAGGCCTGGACAACCGAGTCATGGACGAAGTCACTAAGTCTGACCCCATCTGAGGTGATTTGTCCCAACAAAAAAAACAAACAAAAGAAAGTCGGGCATCTGTCCCAACTCGTCCCATCTGTCCCAACTTGCCCCAATCCTTTCCTCACACATCCACAACTCTCACACACATCTGCACCTGCAAATCCTTCACCAGGAGCAACTGCTCCAACTGCACCTCCGACCGTGCGTCCGTCCGCGAAGCGAGCGGAAGCTTCCGTCGCTTCGGTGAAGCCGGTTTGGGTGACACCAGTGATTGACGCAACATCCAGCGCTGCGGCCGCGACATCCTGGGTGTTTTGGACCAAACCCAGCAGGGTCGGGCAAGAACTGACCTCGTGAAATACTGAAGTTCTTCGTGCAAGAACAGGGCATGCTGCGGACCGAGAGACCAGGAGACTGGACCGACTGGACCTGTAGCGAAGGTCAAGATCATCCGGGTTCTCATCTTAGATCTTCCAATCCCTTCCGGAAGAAAATTTTAAAAAAATAACAAACACGTCCTCCCCTTGCTGGGACGCCTGCGGTGGAAACCCGCCGTCCCTCACAGCGCTTCCCGGGCGCGAGATCTTCCCGGGAGCGGCACCGGCTCCCTCCGCGGCATATCGCCCACACGCTCGGCCTGCGAAGCTGACGGGGTTACTGTTGGACCTCCAAAAGCGCCAACTCACGACAGCTCTTAGTAGAGTCCGGTCGCTCCGTTCGTAGCGATGCCCTTTGTTCCTAGTAGTACGGCCAGGAGCTACTAGTAGCGTGCGTGCGGCAAAGATGCAGAAAGTGACGTACTTCTCAATCTTTGAAGGGGGTCGTTTGATGCTGTCCCTCCGACCAGTGGTCGACTGGCGATGATCGGAACTCGGAAACGATCGAGTCAGGCAACACATCTTTGCAGGCATCAGAAGAATGGTTCTTTTCAGGTTCCAAGAAAAAATTCTCTCCACCATCTTTAACAGGAATCCTTCTTTCAATCCTTCGTCCCCCATCGCCACTGCGGTGCCTTCTTGAGGTCCGACTCGTCCACGACAAGGCCATGGCCCTGCAAGGCCATCAGTGCCTCCCGAACGTTCGCGAGGGGCGATGTCTTTTGCGGCGAAGCCGTCCGCCGGGTGGGTGTCGGAAGGCTGGCTTTCCGAGGCTTTTCCAGATGTCTTCACCAAACAACAACACTCATCAGGTAGTGTTTTCCTCAAGGCGAGGGTCGGCATCCACCGCGGTCCATCGCCGACCTGCATGATGCGGGGGTCCTTCTGGGCCGCGAGGGCCACTTTTTGTCCCACGCCTGAGTCGCAGCTGCGACGTCAAAGTCGAGACGTCGCACGGCGAGGACCGTCGATGCTAACGAAAAAGGTGTGCGAAAAGGAAGAAAGACGGTCTAAAGGAAGAAAGAAACAAAGGGAAGAAAGGCTTCTAAGGTCTAAGAACCTAGATAAGAAAAATTGAAAAACCAGGACCTTCTTTCGGGGTGTCCTGGCTGGAGATCCCTAAGACCCTAAGTAGTGGGCTGGGGCTTCCATTGGTGATCCCTGTGAAGGTGCCTAGTTTCTCCTACCGATTTTTGGCACGGCTGTGATCAACGGCGAAGTGTCCTGAGTAATGACTCAAGGTCAGGCCTCGCGGCCTCGCGGCCTCGCGGCCTCCCGCACCAGTTGGAGATACATGTCATCTACTCATCACACGAAATAGCATAGCCGAACCCGCTCCAATCGGTTCCCGCAAATCCACCCTCCGTCTCGTATCGGCTCGTCGCAGCCCATCGGTTCCGATGAAAAGGACCCGTCCACACGACCTATCTCCACGGGGAGACGGTCGTGCTTCTCGTGCCAACATCGAAAACGAAACAAGCCTTTGCATAGATGGGCATATGAATGTTAACAGCCAGGCTGACCCAAATAGGGCTGTTGGACATGGTATACGGCTCCAGGGCTCGCCTCCTCCCATCCACGAACCTCTCTCCCCTTCTTCCCAACGAAGCCTCGCCTGGTTCCTCGGAACAGGCCAACCTCGGCGGCCCAAACCGGACGACACAAAACCGTTTCGTCTCCATCAAGCTGGCTCCTCAACAAGCTGGTTGAGGACAACACTTGAAGGACCTGAAAACAACATGTTGATTGATCAACGTGAAGGAAAAACCCTTGTCCGAAAAAAATGAAATAAAAACGGCCAAAAACTGTCCCGAAAAAAGGCAGTGTTCGAACCAGCAAAGCGTGTTTTTGCATGTGTGTCTGGACCCGGTATTGTTTAGATCTTTAGACCTTTGTTTTGGTGTCCGTTATTGCTCTAATTAATGTGTCTCAGCCTAGGCAAGGAGGAGCGCGTAGCACAAAGTCGGCCCATGGCCCAAAGCAGGCAGCAGGAGGGATATCTTTGGCACAAAAAAATGCAGCTGCCAGTATCCATGAGCAATTCTTGCTGATCTGAGTTTTCACATGCTTTCACCCCTTCCCTTTGTCCTTTTTCTTTCTTTGATCACACTGAGGCAAGTCCCAGCCCTGGATGCTTCCTTTCCTGTCGACAAGCGATGTGTCAACGCTCCAAACATGGCACGTGTTTTTGCTCTCCCCTCTCTTCGTGTCCTTCCTTTCTCTTGCTCGCGTGCGCTCGCGTCATGTACCTCGTTCGTCTTCCTCCTGTTGCCCTTCATTCCATGTGTTGCCATGTTACCCTGCATCTTGTTTTGGCTGTTCCTTCATTCTCTTTTCCTTGCCCCTTTCAATTTGCGCGCGGCGCATAAAACAAACCAAGCGAGGCTAGGTGCCCCAGGTTCTTTGATGAGGTTTGGCCTTTGTTCCTCACACTTGGTTCCCCTTCGTTGCCTTTCCACAGCTTTCCTGTTTTTACTTTCATGCCTGGCCGTTCTTTGTGCTTTGTCATTTCATCCTTTTCGCCCCTTGCTCGAACGTTTGCCTCAACCTTAGTTTGTGCAAGCGCACACTTGCATGCAAACCGCCAGTTTTCTGACAATCCTGTTTGGTTCCTCGGTTTTGTCCTGGTGGGCTTCCCGCTCCCATCTTGTCCTTCACGTCTCTCCGGCTTTCTGTCGCAGGAACGTGCGCAGTTCCTTTCTCCCCGACCTGAAACCAGGATGTGAATGCTGTCCACTTTTCCGAGCTGGATGGCAGTTGCCCCTTCGCGTGAAATTCTGACTTTGCAGGGGCCAAGACAACAGCAAGGGTATCCAAAGGCCAAACCAAGTGGGCAAAGGTTCCAAGAAAGGAGGGAAAACAAGGAAAGTCTCATTCAGCATCAGTAGAGCTCATCCAAGAACACCACCGTGAGATAGTCCAGAGGACGTCGAAGTGAAATAGAAGAGGAAAAGGAAGACGAACTCACAAGGGTTCCGTACTATACCTTCCTGATCACTTCTTTAACAGGGTCCGCATCCTGGGAAGGGCGCGGTCACCTGTTGAAAAACATAACAAAAACACCCCTCACTGCTGCGAGACGAACACTCCGAACTGTCCTTCCCCTGCACCCTGGAGTCACAGGTCAGCTTTTGCTTTGAGAAGTGCTTCACTGGACCTTTCTCTCAGAAACCTTTAGCCGCCGGGGGGGAACAACCATAGCCGAACCTTTTCGACAAGGACACTGAGCACTCCGAAGGCAAACTCAACAAAGGAATGCGGAGTTGGAAGCATGGCGTGATCAACCGTGAATACCTCCCATCACGTCAATCATTGATGCAAAAACATTGCAAAACAATGTGCTGTTTTCTCGACCATTTCTGTGGGCTGTTCGGGACGCTGTAATTTGTTTAACCGCAAAGGTTCTGAGCCTAGACCACCGGTTCATCTGCAGGGAGGTGGCATTCAAACTTGACCGGTTTTCTTTTGGGAGATGCTTTCTTTCCTTCCTTTCTCGTTTTTCTCTTTCTAGGTCTTCTGTTCGTTGCTAAAGGCTTGTTAGGTTGTAGCGGAACCTGGGGCAGTGATCCCTTCAGCAGTCACTGCCTAACAAAGACACCTCTGATCGGATGTGATATTCGGAGAGGACGCTTTCTGAATGTACCTGCTTTTTTTGTGGTGTTGACAAGCTGTTTACCCTCCTCTTCACTAAAGGGCTAACGCGCTTTGTTGAAACCTTCTGTTACGTGCCGATGAATCGCCTTTCAGTTCTGCAAGTCAAGGTCTAATCTTCAGTAATGTCAAGGGCTAATGCACCTGTGAGTCATTAACTGAACGAATGCTCGACCAGTTGAGCTTTATACCTAAGTGTGTCCCGTGTGCGTGTGTACCAATGCCCAGGAGCTGTTGGAGGCGTTCCAGCTCCTTGAGGAAGCCTTGATCCGCCATGTGCTGTCGCACCTCCTGGGTAACGAGTCCAGACGACGAACGAGTCGGAATCCATCGAATCCCAAGCGGAAGAGCGAGAGGTCCATCGACGGAGCTGTGCCCCGAAGCGGCCTCCCTCCCCAGGCTGGACGCCCGGAAATGACCAAGGAATGCACTCGTTCTTTTCCAGGACTCGAAGCTGAAATGTTTGTTCACCTTCGGTGGGGCTCTGAGCTCAGCTCCGCATGTTGCGCCAACTTCTCCAAGAGCTTCTCCTCTTGCAGCGACGCCGTGAGTGGGTCCGTCTGCACCGCCATGGCGCCACATGGACGGTGGGAGACCCAAGTAAGGCCTACTGGGACGCCAGGCTGAGTGGGTACGGTGAGTGGGGGGAGTGGAGTTGATATGGAATTGGCGGCGGGGGCCGCGTGGTGGCGGCCAAACCTGCCGCCTAAAGAGGCGGAGTGAAGGCCCTTTCGGCCGGCCTGGCGATTTCAAGGTTCCTCACATGGCCCGAAATCGGCTCAAAAGTACGGTACAACCCAATGAATCCATCATAATCCATCTTCCAAAAAACAGCACCGGACGTCGAGCCAATGATGTTTCGGTGTCTTCCCACATCTAGCTAGTGCTGGATGGCTCGGTTCGAACTTCTAGATCTTTGTGGTATGTTGAGGACGCCTCATCTCGTCAGATGTATGGTGTGGCTCGGAGCAGGCAGCACAGCGAGGGAGTTCCGGTGTCGGGCGATGGGAGTTCCGGTGCTGGTAAACCACTCCCCGTTCGCCGAAACCGTTCAACCGTTCAAAAAAATGGCAAGGACCTGGTTTTTTAATGTCAATTCTCAGCAAAAATTGCTTGGAAACCAGGATTCGAACCATCAAATGAGTCAGTTTAACCAATCCGGGGACACTGAATGAGCATCTTCCTTATGAGGCTTCATCGTCGTCTGAATCCTCTGAGTCGAAGCACCCGATGCGATTCCCAGGGGTTCCCCCTCTTCCACAACGACCCGGTGAAATCGAGGGCGTTGGTCTTGAAACCGTTCGACGGCGCTTCGTTCGACGGCGTCGATCGAACGTGTCCCTTTCGGCCCGCTTTCCGCAGCATTTCCATCTTTTCACCGCGCTGCGTCTCGACGCAGCGTGCGCGTTTGGTGTCCTGTGCGGGACAAACCCACCGTGCACGCGGGGTGTCGGTCGGCCGGAGAAGGTCTCTGGAGGAGTTCAGGCGATCAATCCAAGAATTCGCTGGCCAAAAGGGTCGCTTGCATCTTCAACGCCATGAATCCCATTCATACCGTGAATGTTCGTGCCTTTGATCATCTTTTATCATCTTAAAATCCACCATGTTTGGTCGAATAAATCCTCCTTTGAAGATACTTCACAGCAGAGGGTATAGTGGGATTAATATATCCCCCATTTCCACCCACAGATATCCTTGGTCCCGGTTTCTCTGACTGAAACTCACTGACCCGAACTCACTGACGTCGACTGGGCGAAACGACGAACAACAACCCGTTGCGGACTCCCGTAACCGGCGACTACAGCGACTACAGCCGCGGTGAACGCATCCAGATCCATCTTCTCACCCCAAGTAGCTCCACCCAAACTGAGTGGCTTCCCTCATAGACGGACTGGGCGTCAAGTCCATCAAAGAGTCAACAGTCACTGCTTCGAACTGATGGTGTGGCCACACCGGGCGTCCAGTCGTTCTCCCCCGCTCCCGTCGTCCGTGTGGTGTTCGAGTCGTCGTTCTCGACGAAGTCACATGGCAAGAGCGTAGGAGATGTACTCATCCTCAGTCCATGCGCGTCTCGGCCCACGCAGTGGCCCGGCGAAGAGCCGGCGAAGCACATGGAATTTCTATACACTCCGACGAACACATCACATGGAAGTGGAAAACCACCGGTTGGTAAAGGAAAGTAGTCTTCCATGTTAGTGAGTCAGAGTGTACCAGTCTTTTGTTTCGGAGAATCCAAGGTCTTTGATGGTTTGTGGGGCCCCTAGATGCCCAAATCAAGTTGAGAGCAAGTGTGCGATGATGCTCTGCCGATTCTTCCACGACGAAATCGGGGGTCAGAGAATCGGATCGGACCTTGAACAAGTGGATCGAAGGGCATCATTAGGTCGGTGGGTCGGCAGGTGCCACACATACAGCAGGGGGCCATCGCAAGATCGAAACTCCGGTCTTACGACCTGGGAAGAGAAAGAAAGACCATGAGCTGGGCTGAGACTGCTGGCGTGTAGCTGCGCAGACACTGTAGCTCAGAATTGAAGTTCTGTCTCAAGAGCAGGGGTCCCTCCCCCCAAAACGGAGAACGTCTCAGTCCCTGTCACAAATGAACCACAAAACCGAACGCAGAGCGAAACGCCGCCGGCAAAGCTACCGGGGACCCGAAAAGAGAGTAGGTAGGACTTGACGACCTCTCGTCCACCCCGAAAAGTCTGTAACCTTCGGTGTGTTGGCACCGAAAAAAACAAAAACTAAGGCAGTGAAGAGTGTAAGTCTTCGAACATGAAAAGAAGTTATCCTAATTACTGTAAGCAAATACCCCCGATGGTTTCATGATTTCGATGTCAACCCGAAACCCAGCACCCAAAACCAGAACGAGAACTGCCTGGTGCACCTGATCTCTTCCCCCCCCGCATCGTCCATGATCCAAACATCCCTTCCACCGAAAGATTTCGCCCTAGGATCCATCGAAATGGTTCCGGATTGGTCCTGCAGCATTTCACTGGGTGCGCCGAGAGGCAAACAACTCCTCGCAAACGGCCCTGGGGGAAAATTTCTGCTCCAAAAAAAAGAATCTTAACATAATCAAGGTAAGGCGCCCGGTCGTTTTTCATGTCGTGCGGTGCGTAGTTTCAGGTCCGTTTCCATGTTCGGGGCAGTGTAGGGGGGGAGCGGAAGGGCCATGACCCAACTCGGACGGTTGGGAGACCCAGCCGTCATGGGTCGTTGGGTCAAAACCTAGTGATTGTTCGTTGGATCATCCACTTCTGTGAAGTGAGGTCTCTGACCTGTAGGGAGACATACTCCAATCAAAAGAGGACAGACCCTACATTATTGAGGGGGAATTGGGGTCTCAGATCCCTAAGTTTTGAGGTCCCCAGAAGTTGTTGTCCACCAGTGATTAGGTCCAGGTGAGCGGCGGTGAGCGGTGTGGGAGCCTTCACCAAAGAACCAAATGTCTTGCATTGTGCCTCGAAAGGACACTTTGGCCTTTGAAGAACCCACTTGAGTCACTCATCACAGATAGCCTTTGGAAAAGAATCACCAAATCACACGCACACTTCCAGTAAAGCCATATACAGATACACATGGCCCTTGGGGAAAAAAGAAAAAAAGAGAGAAACACATCGCTTTTCGCCAAAGCAAAAGGTTCCTCTCCATGACGGTGGCCATGACCATCCCCTCCGACCTCGGTCCTTGTCCATGTCCTGGAGCGCCAGCGACCGATTTCCATCCCCCCCCGAAGCATCGCGACCCGCCGAAGGTTTGGGGGTTGCTCCGTGAGGATGCTGAGGATGCGGTGAGTACTGTGGTGAGTCCCTTACAAGCTGAGCTGATCGTCACAAACATACAAAAAAATGAGCAAGAATCGGTGCCTTGCACATCAGCTGGGTTTAAAGAAAGGAAGGGAGTGTCTATGGTGAAGGTTTTCACAAGGTGACAAAGGAGTCTATTCATCAAGCATGGTTCAAAACCTCAAAATGTTGCTTTTAAAAACCATGAAACCAACACCAATGTCCATTTCCTGGCATTCCTGGCAAATCAAGCACATCCTCCTTCCCACTGACCCCACAGGGTTCGTGTCGTTCGGATCAGTCTGGTCGGGTCCCGGAAACCAGCGATTTCATGCGCCCTTCGCCGTCAAACACGCAGTGGAAACGGATGATCGGGCAGATGGCCACGGGTGCGGAAATTGGCCTGGGCTGTTCGGGCTGTTCCGTTCAAGTGGGAGGAAGGCCGGGAGCAGGCGGTTTGTGTGAGCAAGGCTTCATGTCGAAAACCTCACCACTCGGGCGGGGTCCGTGAGCATGCGCCGGAGGTGGATCTCATCCAGCTCGCCACGCAAGTGGATCCGGAACTCCTGGAAGTCGATCTGGTTATCCTCACCGCACCGCACCGTTCGGAGGTGTCCAACGCCGCACCGTTTGGAGGTGGCGAACATGTCGAACCCTCGCCGTTCGCCAAACGGAGAGACCGAACCTCCCCGTCGTCCTCCCGTCGACGCAGAGGTCGGTGTCCGTCGACGCACCGACGACGAGAGCAGTCCAGGGGCGCAAATCCTCCGCCCAGCGCGGTCGCATCGAAGGGGTCGAAGGGGTTGGCAAACGCCGGTCCAAACCCAGAGATCTACCTGGTGAACCCAAACAGATGCGAAGATCTCACCCCAACCACCCGTCACTCGAAACACCGTCGACGCGGTCGCGCAGTAGCCAGGTCGTTGACCGTTGACCGCCGTCCCCGCGCGCGCGAAAAGGGCGGGGCTTCGGGGGCCCTCGCCTTGTTGATGTCGAACTCCGCGAAGTCTCGCCTCGGCCGTGGGGGGTCAGTGGGGCCGAAGAGAATGGGCGGCACGGTGTCTAAAGCGTATCCAGATACTGTCACAGCCGCGTTAAGGCAAACCGTCGCTTGAAAAGTGGTGCGAATCTGTCCCAAGAACTGGTCGCAAGAACTGGTGAATAGAAAAACCATGACCCTCAACTGCCTGCAGTCGCTTCGAGAAGCACAACCATGGCGGTGGCACAGTGATTCGGTGCTTCAGCGGGGTCCGGCGGTGTTCCCCTCGCGCGGTGGCTCTTTTCCAGTGGTGGCTCCCTCAACCAACGGCAGTTGAGGCACTTGTACTCCTCCTCTCCGCTCCCCAACCTGAGGGCAGGATAGGTCCAAGGTCCCTGAAGAAATAGAATTGGTCAGGAACTCCCTGCTGCTTTAGCATTAAAATTTCCTGCTGGTTTCATGCATTGACTTACTAAGTCAATCCGACAGCGCAGATCAAGAGTACTGTATATATTGTATCCCAGCTGTTAATGCCTAGACAATTATTCTTCCAGCCCAGTGTTTCGCTCAGGATCTACTCACTCCCTCCCTCCCTCCCTCCCTCCCTCTCCCTCCCTCCCTCCCTCACTCCCTCTCCCTCTCTCTCTCTCTCTCTCTCTCTCTCTCTATCCTTCCTCTGTCCATGGCTATGGCCATATAAAACTCTATGTTACTTCTGTTTAAGATCATGTCTGGCAACTTGGATCCGACATACGGGACCAAGGAGACCCCCCCGCACGCGTGCGCGCAAGGGCGGTGATTCTGGGTTTGGGGAGAGAAGTCCTTCCCATCCAGAAAAGAAGAGAAAAACACCTTTTGGAGGCC